CCCAAGAGGTCGCACCCAGTGGAGTGCTTCCCGCTCCACCTCTGCAGTGGGCCCCGCTGCAACTGATGCCAGGAACATTGTTGCCCAGACAGGGGGCAACCTCTCCTCCTCCTCACAGCAGTAAGAGGTTCATCTATTCTCGTCCTACTTCGGTAGCCCCTCAGAGACAGGGCTGCCAGTCTAGCACAGAGCCCAGTATGTTCTAGAACCAAGGTTATCATTGTGGGAGTGAGGCCTCAAGCACAACTCCTGCCCAGCACAGACCCCGAGGTTGGTTTTGCTCCCCCAGATGCTACTGGCTGGCCTTCCCAGAAAGCCTCCACCAATGGACGGGGAAGGATGGGGGCACCAGGCCGCATATGCCCGCAGTGCCAGGCATTCCATTTGGCTGCTGGGTGAGGGTCTAGAACTAGACAGGGAAGAGACCCGGGTGGAACCAGAGTGGCTTTGTTCTCCCTGGAGAGCGGAGGTCAGCTCTGGGGTGCCGGAAAGAGGAAGTCTGGGCAGCTACCAGGCAGTGGTAGCCACTGGATCTGGCTCCCTTCCTTTTTTTTTTTTGTTTGTTTGTTTGTTTTGGGGTCACATCCGGCAATGCACAGAGGTTACTCCTGGCTCATGCGGTGCTCGGGGACCATATGGGTTGCTGGGAATGGAACCTGGGTCGTCCAGGTGCAAGGCAAATGCCCTACCCGCTCCAGTTCTATCCTCCAGACCCCTGGCTCCCTTTCTGCTCCTGGATTGGGGTTTCCTGATGCCCACGTGGAAAAAGGAGGGTGGGGGAGGCCTCTAGCACGGCTGGTGAGTGGGGTGGGGGGGGTGTCACAGGGTGGCTTTCACCGTCTAGGGTGGGCAGGGACCCTGGACGCCTGCTCATGCCTCCTGTGTCTGCGACTGTAGCCCGTCAGCGGCTCCCAGAGCCCTCCGTGTCCAACCAGCCCGGAGCCTGCGGACGCTCCCGAGCGAGCCAGCAGCCCTGCGTCAGGCCTGGCGGTCAATGGTCTGGGGGCAGCCCCCGCGCCGGACCCTGCCGAGGAGGCCCAGGGCCTGTCCCCGAAGAGGGTGGCCAGCGCCGTGCGGAAGGTGGTGAGCAAGGTGCTGCCGGGTGAGGAGCCTCCCAGCAGAGGCGTCCGCTCCCCCGAGCACCCGAAGCGGGGCAAGAAAGGCGAAAAAGCGGACCCTGCCCCGCAGCCCCCGCCGCCCCCGCCACCCCCGCCGCCCCCTGCGCCCCCCAAGCCCGAAGCCAAGAAGGACGCGGCCAAGGACGAGCTCTCGGTGGGCCTGCGGAGCCTGATGGCGCGCGGCCGGGCCAAGGAGCACAAGCCCCGCGTCAAGCCAGCCCCCCCAGCCGCGCCCACCAGCCCAGGGAAGCGGGCTTCCTCCGCACCCCAGGAGGAGCCCGCCACCTCCGAAGCCCCGCAGGCCTCAGCGCCGCCCGGCCCAGACCCGCAGCAGGAGGTACCGGCGTGTGCCCCTAACCCCCGTGTGCCGTCTGCCCTGATGCCCGCTTCCCGCCGGCCACCTGCTGGAGCCCCGCATGGCTGAGAGGCCACTGGTGGCCCCAGCACAGCCTCCCCATTGTGTGGCCACAGGGGGTGGCTGCCGAGGGACTCGCTAACCAGCATGCAGCGGCTCTTGGGCACTAATGTGGCAGTCCGGGCCTCGCCCCCTAGTTCCAGGACATCCCAGGATCCATGACTTGGGAGGGGGGAGCTTCCCCATATGGCATGTCAGCCAGACCCCACCTCTGCACCCTCATGGGCTGTGGAGGGGGGAGACCCCTGCCTCATCCCATCTCTAAAGCCCCACCTGAAATACCTTGGAAAAAGGAGTGCTGCCTTTCTGTTGTCTGTTTTGGTGCCACGTCTGGCGGTGCTCAGGACTTACTCCTGACTCTGCCATCAGGGATCGAACGCAGGCCAGCCGCATGCAAGGCAAGAGCCCCGCAGTCCTGCTCCTGATTCTTGGATTGTAGCGTGCCAGGTGTGAGCCTCAGCAGCAGCAACCCCAGAACCACGCAGAGTAGGGGGCACTGAGATGAACCTCAGAGTTGCTGCCAAGTTGTGATCTTGGGGGTAGGAAGATTAGGCACCGGGCAGGGAGGGTGCTGCATGCACAGTCCCACCTGCAGGTGCTTGGCAGCTGGGAGGGCCACCCCTGGGGACACTTCCTTCTGCCAGCAGGACTTCTGAGGAGCCCTGGCCTGGAGGGACACTGAGGCCCCCTTTGAGTTTGGGGCCCAGGCTGCACACACAGTGTCCTCTGTTTGGTGAAGTAGAGGGTCCACTGAAGCCAGTGGCCGTTGGCACCCTATGACCCAAGTACACGTCCTTCCTGAGGAGGGTGATTCCTCTTGGCTGTCCTTGGGAGAGTTCTCTGCAAGGACTCCTGCCTGGGGACCTGTCACGGCCTGCTGCTCTTCTGGCTAGAAGGAGAGAGACAGGGACTGGCCTGTGGACACTATAAAGGACACTGACCTCTTAGCCCTAGATGCTTGCTCCAGGATTCCAAAGCTCCCAGACCCAGCCTTGCTCCCTCTTCTGTTTTTTATTTGTGAGTATTAGAGCCACACCTGGTGGTGCCTGAGACTTACTCCTGGCTCTGAGCTCAGGGGTCAGTCCTGCAGGGGCTTGGGAAACCATCTGGGGTGTTGGGGATCCAACTTGAGTTGACTACATGCAAGCAAACACCCATCCCCCTTTCTGTTCTTCTTGGGCTTGGCAGTACTCAGAGCTGGCCACTGCTTTCCCACCCCTCATGACCGCCTCAGCACAGGGAAGTGACCGCACCCAGCATGCAGGACTTGGCAGTGGTGGTATTTTGGCGCAGTGGGCAGAACCCAAGGGGAAGCATTAGTCTCTGAGAGAAGAAACTGGAAAAAGCCCAAGTATGCCCATTCCTGGGCCAGCTGCCCGGCCACTGCTCCTGCTTCCTCCAATTCTCAGGGTGGAGTTGGCGGCTAGGTCCTGCCCACACCAGAAATCTGGGCACCTATCACCTGAGTCTGGGGCAGGAGCAGAGGCAGGGCAGAGAGCAGGCTGGCCCAAGGCCTTCTGTCCTTTCCCCTCTTCCCATAAAGTGAAAACAAAGTGGGGGCCTGGCTTGTGCCCTGACCCCTACTGCTTATCTTCTGGCCCCAGTGGCGGTCCAGGCTAGCAGCTTGGCATGGTGTGTCCCCGCCTGCCTTGGCCCAACACTAATAGTGGTTTAACCTCCAGGCAGGAGCTGCCCCCGAGGCTCATCCGAGCCCGGCCGAGGAGGCCCACCAGCGACTTGAGAGGATCTTCACAGCTCCTGTAATGCCTCCTCTCATTGTGGCTTCTGAACCTGTCCCAAGTGTGTGTGCACGTGTCCAAATAGAAGGAGTGTGAGTGAATGTGTCAGTGTGTCAGTGTCAGAGTTTGTGTATAGAAGTGAGTGTGTGTGTGTGTGTGTGTGTGTGTGTAAGACTGAGTCTACGTGAGGGAATGTGTGTGTGCGAGTTTGTGGGAGTGTAACACGAGAATTTGTGTTTGTTAAACAGATTTGAAACAAATATGTGTATGAATGTTTGTGAGGGTATGTGTGTTTGTCCGGAGTGTGTGTATAAGACTGAAATTACATGAGGCCAAGTTTTGTGTGTGTGAATTTATGTGTGTATATCCGAGGAGTGTGTTAAGATTAAGTTTGTGTGAGGGAATGTGTGTGTGTGAATGGGAGGGAGAGTTTGTATGTTTGTGCATGATCAAGTTGAGTATGAATGGGAGAGTTTGTGTGTGAGTGCATGTGTGTGCCCATGCCCATGCCCACTGAAAGGTGGCTCCATGGCCGTCTTGCCCCCATGTGGCTCTCCCCTTGGAGAAATGAGAGATGCCCTTTGGAGAGTCTGCTCCTGAGGGAGCTCGTAGCTGGTGCTTGTGGGTCAGTCACTCTCCCGCAACGATGGCCCTGCTCTTCTGCCCTGGTCTCAGGGCCTGGTGGGTGTTGAGGCAGGGAGCTGACACGCCCACCATTGAGGCCTGGCTCTCTGAACCTGGGTGGGGGACCCCTGCCCATTTCCATTAGGCCAGGGATAAGGCCTGGCTAACATTTCCTCTCCAGATAGGTCCTTAAGTAACCATATGGCAAGGTTAGGGCTAACCACAAGGTCCACTGTCTCTTGAGTGTGGTAGATGGGAGATGACCTACTTGCCATAGGTCAGTGGGCCTGCATGTGGGACAAGTGTGGTGTGGCTTTGATAAAGAGATCTGAGTGGGCTGCTGTTGGTCTCACACTGCACGAAGAATGGAGTTCTGTCTCCGCAGGGCAGCCCTTGGCCTGGGGAATGGCACCCTGGGGTGTGTGTTTGGAGGCATGGGACAGGTCCCTTGCTCTTTTTTTTTTTTTTTTTTGCTTTTGGGTCATACCTGGTGATGCACAGGGGTTACTCCTGGCTCTGCACTCAGGATTTACTGCTGGCAGTGCTCAGGGGATCATATGGAATGCTGGGAATCGAACCCGGGTCGGCCGCATGCAAGGCAAATGCCCTACCCACTGTGCTATCATTCCAGCCCCACAGGTCCCTTGCTCTTGCCTTCAGAACTGAAGGGTCCAAAGACTGGCCAGAGTTTTGGTGACTTCGGGGGAGTGAAGCTGGAATGAGGACAGAGGCTTCCAGAAGACTCTGCCCAGGGTCTGGAGAGGTCACCTGGCCTGGCACACAGTTGATGGGGAGTAAGGGGGTCTAATGCAAGAGACCCTGTGTGGCCAACCCTGCAAGGGATGGTGGCACATTCCTGCCCACGCCTCAGGGGATGCCTCTGAGGAGTCTGACAGGAAGAATGGTCTCCTCACCATGCTGGGCCTCTCCTCCTGGCCTCCCCTTGACCAGGCAGAATTCACCTGTCCATCCAGCTTCTGGCACTAAGCTCCCCTCACCATATCCCCCAACACCAGGGTGTTTGCTAATGGGTCGTGGGGGCTGTCAGTGCTCTGCCTGTCTTCACCCCTCCTCTTCTTTCTCTCCTTTGCTCTCTGCTGCCAGCTGGACCCTGAGGCCGCCTCTCCTGTGCACAGCCAGGTAGGGTCCTCCCGTTCCCCTCGGGAGCCCTCTGCTTCCTGCAGTGACCGCGCACCACCCCTGGCCTGTATCTGGCCTGGTGTCTGTGTTCAGACCTCATGCTGGAGTGTAAGGCTCCTTCCCCTCCCAGCTTCCACCCCGACTGTGGGGGTTCCCCTGGGAGGCAGTGTCCGGGATTTGAGATGGAACAGCTCTGTGTTCAGCTCTTGGGGACTGTCTCAGCTGTCACCAGTGGATATTGGTCACTGTGTTACATGATTCTTAGCCAAGGAGCCTAAGGGCCTGGCCACAGCTGGGTGTTTCAGTTCTGCTTACTCTGAGCCAAGAAAATTGCAAAAACTGATTCTGGGCTCCCCCTACCCCCCGCCCCCCCCCCCCCCCCCCGCCCCTCCCTGAAGCTGTGACATTCTCTGTCTCCACCTGCTGGCTAAAGTGGGAACTTCATCTTTGAAATAGCTCTTAAAGGAATTAAGTTTTCAGTAGTTTCTTAATACCAAAAGAATTGTTCTGTCACCCATGATTTGAAAAACCAGTTTTGTTTGGTTTTTGTTCTGAAGACATACCCAGCAGTGCTCAGGGACTGTACCTGGCTCTGTGCTCCGAGAGCATTTCTGGTGGTTCTAAGGGGACCATGTGGGGTGCTGAGATCCGAATCCAGGTTACTATGGCCACAGTGCATGCTAGGCAAGTGCCTTAACTTTTGTGCTATCTCTCCAGCTCTGAAGCACAGGAACTTTGTTTTATAAAGCTAACCTTGTTTTTCTTCTTAAATGAGGCTGCTTAAAAAATTTTCATTTTAAATGTCACAACAAGGTAACAACAGAGGTCCAAAGGCAACATAATGGGGGCTGGAGCAATAGCACAGCAGGTAGGGCGTTTGCCTTGCACACGGCCGACCCAGGTTCGATTCCCAGCATCCCATATGGTCCCCTGAACACCGCCAGGATTGATTCCTGAGTGCATGAACCAGGAATAACCCCTGTGCATCGCCGGGTGTGACCCAAAAAGCAAATAAATAAATAAATAAATAAATAACCAAACAAACAATAAAGGGTTATCCCAAACCAAAAAAAAAAAGGCAACATAATGGGAGAACTGATCCATATAATTCAGTTGGGGGAGGCAGGGTTCAGGAGGAGGATTTGGAATCTTGTTTTTTTTTTTTTTCAGGTTTTAGCTTGTTTTGAGGCCACACCCAGTAGAGCTCTATGGCTACTCCCAGTTTAGTGCTCAGGGGTTGCACCCAGTGGTGCTCAGGAACTGTGTGGTGCTGGGCCTCCCACAGGCAGAAGATGCTTTTCAGCCCTATGAGCCACCTTCCTGGCCCAAAAGTTACTTTTGGCTGGACTGGGGGACCTGGGTTTGAGCCACATTTGGCAATGTTCATGGGTTACTCCTGGCTCAGGAATCACTCCTGGCAGTGCTCAGGGGACCATATAGGATGCCTGAAGTTGAATCTGGGTCAGCCATGTGCAAGGCAAGTGCCTTACCGCTGTGTATCTTTCTGGTCCCCCCAAATTAAATTTTTGATGTAAAAAATGAACCTTTCTCCCATTGCTTCATTCATCAAGTTCAAGTGGGTCATGGCTCTGTAGGGAGCCTCCCAGCTGAAGGGTGATTTCACAGACCCAGAATGAGGGGGCCAAGGTCCCACCCTGTCTTCCACAGAGCCGCAGCCCCAGAGGGATGTAGCTAACGCCAGAATACAACTTGGGACCGGAACCCAGATCTCTCTCTGTGTGTCTCTTCTCTGTCTCTGTGTCAACATGACAAAGAACCTTCTTTGCAATATTCTGTTTGCTTGCCCTTCTCAGACCCTCCCCCAGGGGTCAGAAATCACAAGCAAGGTCTGACTCTGTCCCCTCCCTGCGATGCTGGGAGGCTAATGGTACAGGACCCTCTGAAAGGGTGAGAGGCGGGTCATAGCCTGATCCCTGCTGCCCTGTTACCCATGTACACTAGGAGCTTGATGGGCCTTGGGTGCCCAGCCCTCCTCCTTGTTTGCCCCACTCCCCCAGGCTCCATATCTGCCTGGTCCAACAGTGTCAGTAGGTGCTTCCTTCTGGGTGGTTATGTGGGGTCCCCAGGGGTCCCGACCCAGTTATGCCTGCCCCTGTGTCCATCTGACCCAATAGTGCCTCCTTCCTCCTGCCCACCCATCTTTGGCCTGGTTGCTTTATGAGCTTGTAGGACCTTCACGGGCCACGTGGCTCTGTTGGCACTGTCCCTGCCCAGTGATCATCTCCTGGCAGGGCAGGTCAGGCCTCATGCCTGGGACACACCTGTCCTTTCCTGCCACCAGCTCTCAGGAGACATCTCTCTTTTCTGGGTGGGCCATGCTCAGTGGGGTGAATTACCAGGTGAAGGTCACCAGTGGTGTCCGGGGAGGCAGATCTGGAGTGGCCTTGGACATGGTCCTCGGTACCCCCATCCTTCCAGATGTGCACTGGCACATTCCTGTCTGTGGCCTCAGGACCCCTGGGCTTCCCGCTCTCCCTCCTCGGATACTTCGATGGCCCCTGTTCTGTGACAGCCACCCGTGAAGCCACATGAAGAGCTTCCCCTCCTTGTCCCTCACCCTGCTGGTCTGGCATCTTCTTACTGTCTGTTCTCCCCATTCCTGGCTAGGTGAAAACGGAGGAGCAGATCGCGGCGGAGGAGGCCTGGCATGAGACGGAGAAGGTGTGGCTGGTCCATAAGGATGGCTTCTCTCTGGGTGCGTGGGGAGCCCCGGGTGCAGGGGCCTGGCTCTGGGGTTCCTGCATGGGCTGGGCGTGGCTTTCTGGGTGGGGATGGAGGAGCATCCGGGGATACAGTGGGGAGGAGGCAGGACTGGGAGGGTCCCCCCATGTGGATGGCACCAGCATCGGCCATCCGTGCCTGACCGTGCCCCTACCCTGCAGCCTGTCAGCTCAAGTCCGAGCAGCTCAGCCTGCCCGAGGGGAAGGTGCGCGTGAAGCTGGACCACGATGGCGCCATCTTGGACGTGGATGAGGATGACGTGGAGAAGGTCGGCGGGAGTGGGAGTGATCAGGGCAGGCCGGCCGGGGGGCGGGCAGGGCAGGCGGCTTCTGCGGCCTCACCCGTCCGGTCCTGCAGGCGAATGCCCCATCCTGCGATCGTCTGGAAGACCTGGCCTCGCTGGTGTACCTCAACGAGTGCAGCGTCCTGCACACGCTGCGCCAGCGCTGTGGGGCCGGCCTGCTGCACACCTACGCGGGCCCCAGCCTGCTGCTGCTCAGCCCCCGGGGCGCCCCCGCCATGTACTCCGAGAAGGTGCGTCCCCGGGCTCTGCCTCTTCCCCTCGACACCCCCTCTGGCTCCTGTTGGCACGCACAGGTGACCTTGGGCAGCGGAGTCCCCTCCCCTCTGACATGCCCACACACTGCACAGGGCCCACAAGAATCCTGTCACTGGAGAGGGGTCTGTCCATGGGGAGGGCTGCAGGTGTGTGCGGGTGTGGGGGTGCTGGCCGAGGGGCCCCCTGAAATCCTCCCTGCCCCCCCACTTCTGTCCCAGGTAATGCACATGTTCAAGGGGTGTCGGCGGGAGGACATGGCCCCCCACATCTACGCCGTGGCACAGACCGCCTACCGGACCATGCTGATGAGCCGCCAGGACCAGTCCATCGTCCTCCTGGGTGGGAGTGGCAGCGGCAAGACCACCAGCTGCCAGCACCTGGTGCAGTACCTGGCGACCATCGCCGGTGCCAATAAAGTGCTTACGGGTGAGGGAGACAGCAGGGTGACTGGGCGGAGAGCGGGGGTGCGAGCTCTTTTTCTCCCAGACCCCTCTGTGCTTTCAAAGTCCCGCTGTCCATCAGCAGTCCAGGTCTAAGAACCCCCCCGCCTCAAGTCGGGTGTTTGTGGGGCATGTGGGCACGAACTGGCCTGGGGAGCCTGGGCTGGGCACTGCAGCTGACGCAGACGTGTGTCGGCAGTGGACAAGTGGCAGGCTCTGTGCACGCTCCTGGAGGCCTTCGGGAACAGCCCCAGCGCCATGAACAGCAACGCCACCCGCTTCTCCCACATCCTTTCCCTGGACTTTGACCAAGCCGGCCAGGTGGCCTCGGCCTCCATTCAGGTGAGTGGACACCATGTTTGGGGGGCAGGGGAGGACACGCTAGACAGCAGACTCTCTCCGGCCCCTCACCCCTCTGTCCCATGTGGTGCACGGCTCACCCTGTCCCACTGTACCCTGCACTCGGCCCTTCTCCTGAAGGAGACTATCCCCGGGGCTGTTCTCAGGCCATTTCTCCCAGGAGCTTGGGAAAAGTCGGGGCCCCAGTGGGTTCCCTCCTATGCTAGGCAACCTCACTGCAGAGCCTCTACCTGGGCTAAGCACTGAGGATGTGCTCGGTGCACCAGAGGCCCCAGGTTTGATGCCCCGGTGCCATGTGGCTCCTTCAGCGCTTGGAGTGACCTCCAAGCGCAGAGCCAGAAGTAGCCCCCTGCCGGGTGTGACCCCCAAACCATAGCAAAGCCACTCTCTCAAGGACAGATCGGGGAGGCGCTGGGCAGCCCCTCTGAGCCGGCCTGACACCCCCACCCGTACCCTGGTTTCTCAGTTGGGCCTGGGAAATCTGGTCTCTGATTGAACCCCTGAGAGGAAGACAGCTGCTTCCTGCCTCTGGTTCTTCCTGGGGGCCTGGCTGGCACAGCGCCCCCACCTTGCCCACACTCTGTTCTGTGCCGTAGACAATGCTCCTGGAGAAGCTGCGTGTAGCCCGGCGCCCTGCCGGCGAGGCCACATTCAACGTCTTCTACTACCTGCTGGCCTGTGGGGACAGCACCCTCAGGTGAGACACGACCAAGGGGCTCGTCCTGCCAAGGTCCAGCCCATCAGGGTGTCCCCCGGGGCCAACTGGACACGCCAATCTGGAGTCGGGGAGCACCCCAAGATGCTGGCAGGCAGGACTCCCACGGTGGGCTGAGCTGACGTTTGAGCCCGCACTGGCCAACCCTCCATGCTGACCCTTCCTATTGCTCCCTGGCCCTGGCTGGGGTCTTCGCAGATAGACCCTCAGATTCACTGCACACAGCACCACTGTCCTGTGCTGTCCTAGGGGGCTGGTGCCTGACCCGGGCAGGTAGGAGAGGTGGCCGCAGCGAGGCTGGGCTTGGACACTGGACAGAGCGAAGCCAGTGGTGGGTTGGGGGAGGTGTGGATCCCCACAGTGCTGATGCGGCCTTTGTTTCCTAGGACAGAGCTCCACCTGAACCACCTGGCCGAGAACAGTGTGTTTGGAATTGTGCCCCTGGCCAAGGTGAGGGGCCTATCAATATCCCTGGGCCTTGGGGGTGGCAGAGGCAGGACTGCCCTGGGTGCTGCACAGAAATAGCAGGAGCTCCCGTTGCAGTGCTCCCTTCCCAAGCCTGGTCCTCCACTATCGCCCAGCGACCACCTGGGGGGTGGGGGATGCTGCATGTGCCAGCCGCACTTGTGACCTGCCGAACCCTGCTCCCATCTGTCCCTGCAGCCCGAGGAGAAGCAGAAGGCGGCACAGCAGTTCAGTAAGCTGCAGGCGGCCATGAAGGTGCTGGGCATCTCCCCTGACGAGCAGAAAGCCTGCTGGCTCCTCCTGGCCGCCATTTACCACCTGGGTGCTGCCGGCGCCACCAAAGGTAACCTGCCCGTCACACAGGAGCGCTTCGGGGGCCCTGCCCACCTCCGGTTCCACTCCCCCAGCACAGACTCATCTCAGACACCCCCTTTTCACCAGCGCCCCTCCCCTGGCTCCTCCGCAGAGCCGAAGGCTGCAGACACCCAGAGCCTCGTCCCCGGGCACTTAGAGGACAGGACTGGAGCTCCGTGCAGGGCACTTGGGGGCTGGAAGCGGAGGGGACGGAGGAGAAGGGTGTGAGCTCAGGCGCTCCCGGAATTAACTCTCTTCTGTTCCCTTCCACACAGAGGCCCTCGAGGAGCCAGCGGGTAACTGACCTTGGCCTCTCTCTGGGGCTGGGGGGCCACTTGCCCCATCCTGGTGCTTGCCCTGGGCTCTGTCTGGGCTGGGCTCTATGCCGGTGCAGGGGACTGGCCTGGGAGACGCCCAGTGAGGAAGGTGGGGAGGGCGCCGCAGAGTCCCCAGACGAGCTGCTTCTGCCTGTTTTGCATCCAGGTCCTGGAGTGCCAGGAGGCTCCCCGGGGCTTAGGAGGACAGGGCTCCCCGGGCTCCCCAAGGCCAGTTTTCTCCAGTCTCGCCTTCTCTCCCCTGGCTTGGGAGCGGCGCCCCTTCTTCTTGCATGTCGCGATGGTGGCCACTAGGGGTCAGCAAGCACCGCAGTTGTGAACGGGCTGCGGCTTGGGCACGGATGCTTGGGGGCTTGTGAATGGCCAGGGCTTGGTCAGGCTTCAGGAGCCCTTGGCTTCCTTCGGGAGTGCATGCGAGGGTGGGCTCTGCGTCGGCCTCGTCACCTCTTTCTCCTCCGTTAGGGAAGCGGTGTACTGACCTTTAACAGCATCTTGGGCTTTGGCTTCCCATCCGGCAGAAGGCGCAGGGCTGCCTAGGCGGGTGGGTGGTGGGTGCATGGAAGAACGACATCTGGGCATCAGGTTCCGGAGGGGCCCAGCAGTGGCACTTTGCCAAAAATAATCGGGGGGAGTTAAATATTTCCAGTCGCAGCTATGTGCAGGAAATTCTTTGACTCTGAGGAGACGACAGGGTTATTTTTTGTTTGTTTGTATGTTCGGTTGGTTGATCACACCTAACAGTGCTCAGGTCTTAACTCCTGGTGGAGCTGGGGAATCATATGTGGTACCAGGTATAGAACTGGGGTCAGCCCTTAGCAAGGCAAATGGCTAACCCCTGTACTATATCTCTGGCACAAACCCAGAATGGTTTTTCCTCCCCCTCCCCCTCCTCCTCTCTTCCTTCTCCCCCTCCTCCTCCCCCTCCTCCCCCTCCTCCTCCTCCCCCTCCTCCTCCTCCTCCCCCTCCTCCTCCTCCTCCTCCCCCTCCTCCTCCCCCTCCTCCTTCTCCTCCTCCTCCTCCTCCTCCTGCTCCTCGTCCTCCCCCCCTCCTCCTCCCCCTCCTGCTCTTCGTCCTCCCCCTCCTCCTCCCCCCTCCTCCTCCTCCCCCCTCCTCCTCCTCCTCCCCCCCTCCTCCCCCCTCCTCCTCCTCCTCCTCCTCCTCCTCCTCCTCGTATTCCACTGGTGCTAAGGCTCAAACGTGAGGCTCCCATATGCAAAGCATATACTATAGCTCTTTGAGCCACTTCCCTGGCCCCAAGCCCAGATAGGTTTTCTCTGACCAACTCAGCATTGACTGTGCAGGGATGGAATAGGGGCATGGGGGGGAGGGGTAGAAAAAGGAAGTACTCTGTGTTAGGACCCCAACCTTGTTGAATAGTGCCTATTCCTCAGAGCTTCCAGTACTTCCAGGACTCTGTGTGTGTTTGTGTGTTTGTGTGTATGTATGTGTGTGTGTATGATTTTCTGGGTGTTAGGACATTTGTGGGTCTCTGTCAGAATGGCTGTCTGAGACTGTGAGGGAGTGTGTGTTTCTGAGTTGGAGTATGGTTTTTGCGCCTGCCCATCCTCACGAGCCCCCCTCTACCATGGTCCCTTCCTCTGGGCCCGGCGGGCTCAGTTGATGACTGTTTGCTAACACGCTGTTTTTCTTTGCATGCTGCATGCTGGTCCTTTGCCTTACAGAAGCTGCTGAAGGTAAAACCTTGTTTCTTGTTAGCTTTCCCTAATTGCTGTGATTAGACACATGTTGGCTGAGGCGAGTCTGTCTGTGTGGGCTGCTCTGTTTCCCCTGCAGCTTTTTTGCATCTTCACTGCCCGGCTGCCCACTGTTGGGGCTAAGGGGGGTGTTTGTGGGCTCTCCTGGCAGATGTCCATGACCAAGAGGGAGGACCCTAATGCACTCAGTGAAGGGGGGGCACTCTAGTGCCCCCCATGGAAGGTTCCCCCAAACACACAGGTGATTCGTGTGCCTTGGTGGGCTGCTTCATTCTGTGCCACCTTCCACAGGTTGGCACCTCTGGAATTGTGCCTTCTAAAATCTTATTTTTGGGGGGCCACCCCTGGTGGTGCTCAGGGACTTACTCCTGGCTCTATACCCAGGGATCACTCCTGGAAGTGCTCAGGGGAACCCTATGGGGTGCCAGGGATGGAGCCAAGGTCAGCCACCTGCAAGGCAAAGAGCCCTACCACTGTACAATCACTTAGGCTCTGCAGAAGCAGTTTGCACAGCTGGCCTAGCGCCCCCTGGTGGCAGCAGCGTGGAGCTACTGCCTCTTTTCAGACGTGTGATTCATTCTCACCACCCTCAGGGACACCTGAAGCCCAGGCACCTGCTGCTTGTCCCTCAGTGCCTGAAACACTTCCCGGGTTATCCAAGCTGGCTTTTCCCCCTTCCCTTTGGAAAAATGTCTACTTCCTGGTCCAGGTGATCTCAGGAGGAAGCCCCGAGATGCTAGATTGTCTTTCCTATCCCACAGCTGGGCGCAAGCAGTTTGCTCGCCATGAGTGGGCCCAGAAGGCTGCCTACCTGTTGGGCTGCAGCCTGGAGGAGCTCTCCTCAGCCATCTTCAAGCACCAGCTCAAGGGGGGCACCCTGCAGCGTTCTACCTCCTTCCGTCAGGGCCCCGAGGAAAGCGGCCTGGGAGATGGCACAGGTACCCGGAACTTCTGGGCCAGTGGAACGAGGGGGAGGGTAATGTGGGACTCACTCCCCTGCCAGGTGAACAAGGGGGGGGGTCAGAGAGGCCAAGCCCCAAGGATCCCCGGGAATTGGGTCTTGGGCAGGCAGGGAGCAGAACTGGAAGGGATCCCAGGAAACCCAGGGAGCAGGAGACAGAGCTGATCTTGCCCCGCAGGCCCCAAACTGAGTGCGCTCGAGTGCTTAGAGGGCATGGCGTCTGGTCTGTACAGCGAGCTCTTCACCCTTCTCATCTCCCTGATAAACAGGTGCGTGCCAGGCCCCCATGTGGAGGCCCCATTGAATGAATGGAGCCTTGGCGGGCTCAGGATTGCGGAGGCAGAACCGCTCTCTACCGGCAGAGGGCGCGTCATCCCCATAGAATGGGAGAGGCGGCACCTTCTCCCCTCCCGGGTCTGGATGGGGATTTGACTTGTTGGGTGCAGGGGAGGGGGCATCCGTGGGGCTGGTTTGATGGGTTCCCCACCCCTGGCCGGTTCTAACCCACCTCTCCCTGGAAAGGGCTCTCAAGTCCAGTCAGCACTCACTCTGCTCTATGATGATTGTGGATACTCCGGGCTTCCAGAACCCTGAGCAGAGTGGGTCGGCCCGAGGGGCCTCCTTCGAGGAGCTGTGCCACAACTACACCCAGGACCGGCTGCAGAGACTCTTCCACGAGCGCGCCTTCCTGCAGGAATTGGAAAGATATAAGGAGGTACCACTTGCCCCTGCCAGCTCCCACCGCGCCCCGCACTCCTCTCCGGCCTTCTTGTGCCCTGAGAGGGCAGGAGCGCCTTTCCAACAGGCTGGTCCCCTCCCACCTCAGCTCTCTCCTCAGTTCTCTCTGGCCTCTTTCCCTGCCCCAGCAGGCATTTTTGTGAAGAATTTCTTTTCTGAGAAGTGAGGATATGTTTGGAGTCACCAGGAACCACTCCTCCGCCTTGTGCATTTCCTGGCCCCACATATGTTGTGTGTCAGACCCGGATTTCCCAAGTCCCAGTTTCTGAATCAGTCAAGATGGTGACTGATTGGAGATAGCGTAGCGGGTAGGGCACTTGCTTTGCATGCAGCCCATCTGAGTTCCATCCCTAGTACCACACATGGTCCCCTGAGCCGAGCCAGGAGTAAGGCCTGAGCACTGCTGGGTGTGGTCCAAAAGCCAAATAATAATATGATGATGATGATTGAATTGGGTCCCCCTCAGAAAAGGGTGTTCAGGCTGGGCCAGGACTTGGAAATCTTACCCCCTGTGGGTGTGAGTTAACCCTGCCGGGGAGCCTCTTTATCTGGGATGTGAGAAGGTTCATGAGGAAAGTGACAGTTGTCTTCAAATGTTTTCGGGGGAGGGGAGAGATAGTATCATGGTCAGGGTGCTTACCTTGTATGCAACCAACCTAGGTTTGATCCCCAGCATCAAACCTGTCCTCAAAGCCCACCAGGAGTGATGAGCACAGGTGGGTGTGGCCCCCAAACAACACAAAGCCCTAAATGTTTCCAGGAGAGTTGTGTGAAACAGGAAGTAGACCAGTTCTGTTGTAGTCAGTTCGACAGAGGTGGACTCTAGCTCCTTGCAAAAGGAGGTTTAAAAAGCTCAGCTGTCCCATGGCTGGGAGCAATAGTACAAAAGGCATTTGCCTTGCCCATGGCCAATCCTGGACTCAGCCCCATATGTTCCCCCGAGCCTGCCAGGAGTAACCCCTGAGTACCACGAGGTGTGATCCCCAAACCAATAAATAAAGTTCGGCTTTTGGAGACACTTGAGTGCCGAGAGAGGGGACGCGCATTTGTCAGTCTTGCCACTAGGGGGAACTCCTGTGCAGCATGAGCTGTGGACCTTGCTGATTTGGAGGTCACCTCCTCCAAACCAGCTCCATGGGTGACCCACCCTGCTCTCTGCACACCTGTGTTCACAACAAATATGCCTTCCTTGCCAGGAGAACATCGAGGTGGCATTTGACGACATGGAGCTGGCCACCGACACCTCTGTGGCGGTGATGGACCAAGCTTCCCATCAGTCCCTGGTAGGGATTCTGGCGCGGCCCACCCGGGCCTTTGCTCTCCTGCTCCTCTTCCTCAGGGCTGCTCTCTGTGTATTGTGGGCCAAGGGGATGGCCAGGGGTGCAGATGTGCATCTTAGAGCTGGGGCTTGGCTTCTCCTATTCCTGTCCCCTGGGTGACTCTGTGTCTACTCCAGAGAGCTGCAGCGCCCCCATCTCCCAACCCTCCCCAGGATGTGGGCCACGTGGGACTATGCTCTCGCCATCGTGTGCCAGGCTCAGCCTCTGCTGCGTTTGCTGGGAGCACTGCCATCTCCTAGGGGGATGAGGGTCCTAGAAGATGTAGGTCACAGTATAGGTCGCAGGGGGCCAGGCCCTGGCTGACTTGGCCTGTACCCAGATGGAGAAGCAGTACCCAGCCCTGACACGCCCATGGGACCAGTGGTCTTCCGCTTGGGTCCAGTGTCAGGCACCTCCTGTCCAGGGGACCAGCTGGCCAGATATATACCTGGCCTTGGGAGTCTCCTGTGACGGAAATTGCACATTTTTGCTTTGCTGCTGGTTTCCCTCCTCTGCTGCTTCCCACACCCTTTTCCCAAAGGACAGACCTGCTGAGCCTGCACAAGCCAGTGGCCTGCGGGAGAATGAGGGTTCCCTGGGGACAAATGCTTAATGCACACATGTCCCAAGCCCCCTGGGGAAGCTAGCTTGTCATTTCCTGGTGACACCTGGGCCCCCTGAGGTGGGCTCCCCAGAGAGCCTTGGCAGTGCTCAGGAGGCCTGGGGCCTTCACCCCGCACGGCCCCCAGCAGCAGCGGACCAGGTGCAGGACTAAGTGTGGTCTGGGCAGTCTTTCCCGCCACTGATCTCCCCTATCTGGTAGCAACGGCCTCTCTGGGGAGCCGGCCCCTTCGTGCTGAGCCTGTCACTCACCACATAATGGCTTCATTGCTCCTTTCTGCTCTGGCCGCTCCGGGCCCTTCACTGGCCGACAGTCCTAGGCTCCATAATCACGCTTCCTAGCTCTGGGGATGTGCGCCTGCCACTGGGGGCAGGGGGAGGCAGCCTGGCTTTCTCCCTCTCTCTTCTTCCATAATTGGAGCCAGGAAGGTTCAGCCCTTCTTGCCCAGGGAAGGGAATGCCTTAGAAAAGGCACTTTCAGAGACTGGGGAGGATAGTATAGTGGGCAGGACTGTTGGCTTGCATGCAGCAGGCTTCCATGTGATCCCTGGTAGCCCGTATAATCTCTAGCACCCCCAGGAGTAATCCTTGAGTTCAGAGCCAGGAGTAAACCCTGAGCTTTGCCAGGTGTGACCTCTCTATCACCCCCCACCCCCCAAAATGGGGCTGGAGCAATAGTACAGTAGGTAGGGTGTTTGCCTTGCATGCAGCTGATCCGGGTTCAATCCTTGGTATCCGATATGGTCCCTAAGCCCACCAGATGTGATCCCTGAGCATAGAGGCAGGAGTAAACCGTGAGTAACACAAGGTGTGGCAAAAAAAAAAAAACAGAGAGAGAGAGAGAGGGAGAGAGAGAGAGGCAAGAGGTGAAAATGCACCTTAGACCGGATGGGTGCGCATGCGTCATAGGACTGTCTTGTGTGTGGAGTGCTAGAAATCCGGATCCAGGCCTGCAGAGGTGCTCCAATGGCTGGAGCTTGTGCTTTGCATGCAGGAGGTGCAGAGTCAGTCCCTGTCACTGCATGGTTCTCTAAGCACCTTTGGGAGCAACCCCCAAGCACTGCACCGTTCCTCTGGTTATGGCCCCAGATTCCCATCTACTCCCCCTACCCCACCAAAGAAATCAGAATTGAGTATTGAAACAGGGGGATTTGTCAGCACCAGCCAGTGTGCCTCCAGGACAACTGCTGGCAGCAGTCACGATGTTCCATTTCAGTGGGGACACCTGGGCCAGGAGCTGTAGGACAGAGGGGAGGGCACTTGCCTTGCATGTGGCCTGGGTTCGATCCCCAGCACCCCACATGGTTCCCCGAGCCTGCCAGGCATAATGCCTGAGCATGGAGCCAGGAGTAAGCCCTGAACACTACCGGGTGTGACCCAAAACAAAAATGGTGGGTGGGGGGGACCTGCGGTCTCGCCCTGGCTCGCCCCTTTTGGTGGCCACACACACTCAGGATTCCACCTGTGGCACCCGGAGCCTTCTCGGGGCCTGGCACACCTGGGCACAGTGGATCTGCCTGGAAGTGATGATGCCCAGGGAGTGAGGGTGACTGCAGGCTCCCGAGCCCGCTGTGACCTCCAAGAAGACAAGGAGGGAACAGCGCATCTCACATGGGCTGGGTCTCCTGAGCTCCGTCTGTCCCTCTCACGGGTCCTGCTCTATCTCTGGTGTGGTCTGTGACCCGTGAGATGTCAGCAGTGAGTCGCGAGCGCTCGGTGCCCACCAGCTGGGCTTCCCGGGTGCAGGCACCGTGAGGTTTCTTTGCTGCCCCTAGGTCCGCTCTCTGGCTCGCACCGAAGAGGCCAGGGGCCTGCTGTGGCTGCTGGAGGAGGAGGCGCTGGTGCCGGGCGCCACGGAGGACTCCCTCCTGGAGCGCCTTTTCTCCTACTACGGCCCCCAGGAAGGTGACAGGAAAGGTAGGGGTCCCCTCTGCTTCCTCTCTGTAGGGTCACGGGGGAGGGGCCAGTGCAGCCTCAGGCCAGCATCCCAATGTCTGCATCTTGCCTCTCCCACCCCTAGGCCAGAGCCCCCTCTTGCGCAGTGGCAAACCACACCATTTCCTGCTGGGCCACAGCCACGGCACCAATTGGGTGGAGTACAACGTGGCGGGCTGGCTGAGCTACGCCAAGCAGAACCCTGCCGCTCAGAACGCCCCCCGGCTCCTGCAGGACTCCCAGAAGTAAGGAAGCCGCTGGCCCTGCCCTGGTCCCATCCGGGGACTGTTTCTGGGCTCTCCTGGGCATGACCTCCGACTAGGGGGGCGGGGGCGGGGGCAGGCGAGGTTGGAGGGACCTTCCCTGGATGTGGCGGATAGTAGTGACCCAGCAGACACCCATGGCTCGGTGGCAGTTGTGTCCCATTGGGGGAGAAGATGACACCAGACAGCACCAGGCGTTGTGTATAGTAGGTCAGAGCAGGGTTTCCCAGCCTTCACCCTGCGCGGCCTCTTTTTGACCCTGTTTCCTTCCCATGGCCCCCAGTCCTATTGGTTGGGCCCCCTAGTCTCATGCTGTGACCCCCCCTACTTATGTGATTTTTCAATTGTGGCTCCCCTGAATGTCTTGGGGGACCTTACAGCCCCCGGTAGGGAAAGGCTGTGTTAGGTGTTAGCTCCAATCTCCTGCTGCGTTGGAAACCCCCCGTTCCCCCCCGTCGCCCACTCTTGGCCCAGGACGAGCAAAGCAGCTCCTCCCTCTCTGTCCACTTGGGCTCCTGCCTGGCAGTGTCCCCGGGTACTGGCCACAAGTGGCAGGAAAACCGCCCACCTCTGGCCACAGCAGTCTGTGGGGTGGGACTTGTCGCCTCCAAGTAGGAACGGCTCCTGGAGTGCTCTTCTTTCCCGCCCTCCTTGGCAGGAAGATCATCAGCAACCTGTTTCTGGGCCGGGCCGGCAGCGCCACGGTGCTGTCAGGCTCCATCGCAGGCCTGGAGGGCGGCTCGCAGCTGGCGCTGCGCCGGGCCACCAGCATGCGCAAGACCTTCACCACGGGCATGGCGGCAGTCAAGAAGAAGTCCCAGTGCATCCAGATTAAGCTGCAGGTGGTGAGTGTGCCAGGAGAGCCCAGGTGCCCACAGAGACTCGCAGCCCTAGCACCACCTCCTTCCTATGCCCCCGCCGTGGGTGGCCCCTGGGCCTCATGGGGACACATGGTCCCGGCCGGGCAGCCTCTGGTCTGGTCTGTGGGGCACCTGCCCTTGGTAGGGGTGGGCACCCTGATGCCAGCCCCTGCTCTCGGGGAGCTGAGCCCGTCCCTGGCTCTCACAGGATGCCCTCATCGACACCATTAAGAAGTCGAAGCTGCATTTCGTGCACTGCTTCCTTCCCGTGGCAGAGGGCCGGGCCGGGGAGCCGCGCGCCTCCTCCTCCCGCCGGGTCAGCAGCAGCAGCAGCAGCGAGTTGGACCTGCCCCCCGGAGACCCCTGTGAGCCCGGCCTGCTGCAGCTCGATGTGCCCCTGCTCCGGGCCCAGCTCCGGGGCTCCCGCCTGCTGGATGCCCTGCGCATGTACCGCCAAGGTGGGCCTCCTCCGCCCCGCACTGCGCAGCCGCGCGGCCCTGCCTCCCTGCTGCACCTTCCTGACTCTCCTAGCAAGCCCTGCTCTCCTCTCTCTCCCAGCCTGCTATCTCCCTCCCCGCGTCTTTGTTCCATGCTCTCCTTCCTCCCTGCCCACAAGCCATGTGGCCCCACAAACCCCTCTCCAGCTGGTCATTTCTGCCCACAGCAGCAAACTCAGTGCCCTTGGCATCGCCTGCCTGGCAGTGGCCACTATTTCCATGAGTGGGCAGGTGGCTGGGCTGCTCCCCCATGGGAAAGGAGGGGCTAAATCTTTCTAAGGTACTTAGCATCCTCCATTTTTTAATGCAGGGGTGCAGGGGAGGTGAGTCACCCTCTGTGATGTCCGGCCTATTCCTGGCTCTGTGCTCAGGGTCACACCTGCCACATGGGGTGCCGGGGATCAAAGTGAGGTTGGCCATATGCACGGCATGTACTATCCTGGTACTGTTTCCCTGCCCCAGAGGGACCATTTTTATGGGCCCAACTGGAGAAGGGGACAGAGAGGATGCAGGTCACAGTGCCTGATGTCCCCAGAGTATTCAGGGCATCAGGCATGATTCTAGACTCACCTTACCAGGAAGATGGTTTTGTTTTGTTTGTTTGTTTGTTTGCTTGTTTTTTTTTCTATTGGCTTTTTGGGTCACACCCAGCAATGTTACTCCTGGCTCTGCACTCCGGAATCACTCCTGGCAGTGCTCGGGGTACCATATGGGGATGCCAGGGGTCAAATCTGGGTCAGTTGTGTGCAAGGTAAATGCTGTACTTGCTGTACTATCACTCTGGCCCCACACAGGAACATGTTTAATCCTCACGAGCAGCTCAGGACAGGTAGAAATTGGGAGCATTTCCTTGTGCAGAGACTGAAGTATAGAGAGGTCAAGGAAAGGTCAAGGTCGATGTGAAGGTCATCGCAGGTGGCCAAGTAGCATCTGTGTGTGGGCCTGGCCTGGTGACTCTGCCTTTCCAGCAGGCTTTGGCTAGCCGGGGGACTTGCGAGCTGCCTGGTTCCAGCCCCTGTTTTCCCTTAGTCAGGAGAGCAGCCGTGGTCCTGCTTGCTCTGCCTCACGCCCCTCGAGGCATCCCCACAGCCGCCGCAGTCAGTTTTCCTCAGTAGCCAACCCAGGAAGCAGGGTCCTTGCCCTGCTCGAAATAAATCATCGATCTGTCCCCACGTCTTGATATGGAGTTGGTGTTTATTATTTCAAAACCAGATTGTTACCGCTCTGAACCAAAATCAATGTGCTTTACTCAAACAAGCAGATCGATGAGGCCGGCAGCAGCGCCCCCCGCCCCCCGCCCAGCCCCCAGCCTCCGTCGATAGCGCTGATGATTAATTAAGATGCCAGGCGTCTGGACCTGCTATCCTGGCCCATCAATTTAATTGCAATTCAGATACAATCAATAGCTCACTTTGTCTTGGCCCCTCTGCGGCCCCCGCCTCCTGTTTCAATTATCAGGCACATGCATCAGCCTCCTCTCAGTTGGAGGGGTTCCCAGAGCACGCCACCCCCCGCTGTCAGGAGCCCGGCAGAGGCCAGCTCCGTGCCAGCCTCCCGCAGCTGTGACGACCACAACCGCTCGCGCCCCCTCCAGGGCCTTTGTTTCCCTGTCTGGAACATGAGTTGTGTCTAGTATGGCCCCTCTTTGGGTTGAAATTCTGTGATTCTTCAGATTTGAGTCTTTTTTTTTTTTTTTTTTAGCTTTTTGGGTCATACCCAGCGATGCTCAGGGGTTACTCCTGGCTCTGCACTCAGGAATTACTCCTGGTGGTGCTCGGGGGACCATATGGGAATGCCAGGAATCGAACCCGGATCAGCCTCATGCAAGACAAATGCCCTCCCCACTGTACTACCGCTCTGGCCCAGATTTGAGTCTTGAGGTCCTGAGTGGACTTTGGGTAACCTGCCAGACTCCATGACCTTGCTCCATCCCAGAGCTACCTCGCCCTCTCCTCTTTCCTGTCCCCCCGCCCCCCCCCCCACCAGTCAAGTCCAGACAGTAGGGGTCTCTGGTCCAGATGACATTTGAGGGGAAAGAATTGACAAGTATTAAGCTAGAGCCATAGTATACCAGGTTACATGCCTTATACACAATTGACCCGAGTTCAATCCCAGAATCCCATATGGTCCCCTGAGTTCCACCAGGAGTAATCTCTGAGCACAGAGCTGGGAGTAAGCCCTGAGGACTGCTGGGTGTGGCCCCCAAACAGACAAACAAACAAAAATACCCAAAGAGTTGACAAGGTTTTTTTTGTTTGGTTGGTTTTAGTTTTGAGCCATACCTAGCAATGCTCAGGAGTACTCCTGGCTCTGCACTCAGGAATCACTCCTGGCAGTGCTGGGGGACCATATGGGATGGCTGCATGCAAGGCAAGCACCCTGCTTGCTGTACAGTTGCTTTGGCCTGTGGGTCGCCATTTGAATAAGAGTTGGGGGCTCCTGTTTACAGGCTTGGAGAGACTGGATAATAACTTATCGAAGGTCACAGGATATTAAGAGGAAAGGCAGTGGGCCTGGGGCTGTGGCTCAGTGGTAGGTGAGACCTGGTGTGTGAGGCCCTGGGTTCGATCCCCAGCTCTGAAGTGGGGGAAAAAGGGGAGATTACAGAGAGATACTCCGGGGGTTAAGGCACTTGCCTTGCACATGGCCCACCTCAATTCAATCCCGAGCACCACATATCCCCCCACTGAAGTACTGCAGGAATGATCCGGGTAAGACCCAAATCAGATTCCATCCTACCACTCCTGAACATTTGTGCTCTGATGTGCTATTGTTTCTCTCTCATTGAGAGCTCCAGACATGGATCTCAGAACTGAAGCGATAGCACAGCAGGTAGGGCATTTGCCTTGCATGCATCTGACCCGGGTTCGATTCCCAGCATCCCATATGGTTCCCTGAGCAATTGCCAGGAGTAATTCCTGAGTGCATGAGCCAGGAGTAACCTCTGTGCATCGCTGGATGTGACCCAAAAAGAAAAAAAAGACATGGATCTCTCTGTTATTGGAGAATCATAGACTGGGAGGATCAGAAAGCACCCTAGGACCATCGAACTTCTGGCCGAGCTTCCTTCTGGGTGGCCGTCCACCTGCACCTGCCCGACTCGAAAGGACCTGCTCCCTGAGGCCTGTGAGCCACAGTGGGCAGCCCCATGGTTCACTCAGCCTCCTGCCCTCACCCCTGCACCCTCCTCTCCTCACCCCCTTTCCCTGGTAGTTCTCTGTGCCCCCCATGGTTGGGCACCATTCCCACTGGGGAGTGCTGGGTACAGGAGCTGTGACCCGTCTGGCTTCTTCCCTCCTTCAGGTTACCCTGACCACATGGTGTTCTCCGAGTTCCGCCGCCGCTTTGATGTCCTGGCCCCGCACTTGACCAAGAAGCACGGGCGCAACTACATCGTGGTGGATGAACGGCGGGTAGGTCGGAGCCCGCCCGGGTCAGCCTGGCTGGAAGGGCTGTCTCCCTGTGTTCCGGACTGTCGCCAGGGGTCCCTCCTTCACCAGCCTGAGCCCAGGGCTTCTCCTGCATCCCTGAGGAAAGGGGTCTCTGCAGAATGACCTAGAAGCTCTTTTCCCTAGCCCGCTGAGTCTCACACCCACGTCCCTGGAAACACCTCTGGGTCACCTCAGTGTTTATGCCCCTGGCCAGTTCCCCAGTCCCCTCTGCCTGACCCTTGCCTTCCGGCTTCCCACTCGTGGCTACACCTAGTACTTTGTGCTCCCGGAAATCGCCTCCGAGATCCTGACCCTGTCTGGGCCTCTCTGGTGCCTCCAGTCAGTGCTTCTCACGCCGCTTCCCCTGGGCCCTGAGGCCTCATTTCTGGACCTTCTTTGCTCTGCCGGCTCCCTCTGGCTCCACTGCCTCTCCCTTGCCAACCCCTCAGTGCTCCCGAGCCTCCCCCAGGCCTGTCCCCCACCCCCAACTTCCGCTGCGTCTGCCCTGCTGGCTTTCGTGCTCCTGGGACTGGGGGCTGTGGCAGCGTGTGGACCTGAAGTGCTTCACGGTCACAGGCTCCGGCCCCCACTGGCCCTAGGAGGGAGGATCGAGGTCCCCAGGGCCCCATCCTTACCCGCCCCCCTTCCCTCATCCCAGCGCCTGCGGTTCGTCCTCCCGTCCTCCTTTCTCCTCCACACGCCCTCCTCCCTGCCTCTGAGCACTAATAAAACAGGCCCAAACTTCCCCCATCTCTGCCTTTCCATTCCGCTCCTGTGTGGGTGGGAGGTTCAGCCCCTCAGAAGTCTTCCCTCTGGTTCCCTGGAGCCTGCCCCCCTCTTTCTTCCCCTCCTCACCCCTCTGCAGGCACCTTCCCCCTGGAAAGGTATCCCTGACATTGCTCTGAAGGAGACTCTGGCCCCCCTGCCCACTCCCCAACTTCCCTCTGCCTGTGACTGGTGCTGGCAACTCTCCTCAGCTCAGCTCCTTGTGCCCTTGCCGGTCCCCTAGTCCTTCTCACCGTCCTTGCTCCGTGTCCCCAGCCTTCCCTCCAAGTGCCTCACTCTTCCTGACAGGTGTCCCCTTGCCCACAACCTACATTCCTAGCCCCTCTCCCATTCCCGGGTATCTGGGTAACCCTGAAGCATCCATCACCTAGAGCACAGGCCTCTCCTGATCACCACCCACATACCTTTCTGGAATGTTCTATGCAGCCGCTTTCTGGAATTTCCTACCTGAGTGCCTTGGAGCATCCCAAACTCCGCATGTTCAAACCCACCCTTGTCCCGTGTGGCCCCTGCGTCCCTCCTGCATTTTATTTAGCTCCTTTGGCACAGGCTCAGCTCTGGTCTGTGGAATTACTGCAGTAGATATTGGGGGGAAGTGGGGAGCACATGCTTTGTTCCCTTGCATCTCTGTGAAGTATCAATCTCATCTCGTCCCTCCCAAGACTAGATGACCGGGCACACAGCGCCTGTGTTGGGCTCCGGCTCCCATCGGCAGTGCCTGTGCTGAGGGGCCTCTTGGGTTGAGCCTGGGGGTCTTCGTTCAAGCTTGTTCCTCTGTCCAAGTTGCCCTCTCCCCGCTCTGGCTAGTTCTTCTGGGCCCCCAAGAATGGCGCTAGCGGCATCGCCTCCCAGGGGGCCTCCCCGGGGCTCCTGATGGCAGGTGCTGCCCCCCCCCCCCCCGACATCACCAATTCACTCTCCCTCCCCAGGAGCATTGCTCCTCATCCCCTGCTCTGACTTGACTCAGAGCCCGAGCCTGCGGGTGCCCACCAGAAGTGCTTATGAAATAAGCCCTGGGCTGTGACAGGGGGTGGGGAAGGATGGCACCTCGGGTGCCCCCTGTGCTACTTCCTGACACGCCTCCTGCCTGCAGGCCGTGGAGGAGCTGCTGGAGTGCTTGGACCTGGAGAAGAGCAGCTGGTGCATGGGCCTGAGCCGGGTGAGTGGTCCCAGCAGGGTGGGCTGGCTCACCTGGCCTTCTCCCACGCTCCCCACTCACCCCATCCCCTGCCTCCTGGGACCCCTCTCGGGTCTCCCCCAGACTTGCCTTGCCCTCCCCCCTGCTCTGCGTTCTGCAATGCCCGATGCTGTGAACACGCTTTTGGCCTGAGTTCCCATGTGGGCGATGGCGGAGAGAGAAGAGAGCAGAGAGCAAGCCGCCGCCGGCCTCCGGCCCAGAGCTCATCTGAACAGAACAAGCACAGGAGGGCAGGCCTGCCCGCCCAGCGCCGCCCACCTAGGGCCAGCCTGCACCGCGCTTCCCAGCCCAGGAGGCTCTAGAGGCTGGGTCCACAGCCGTGCATGGGCTGGGAGCAGTTGGGGGTCTGGCCTGTGTCTGGGTCCCAGGGCCTCAGGAGGATGCAAGCTGGAAGGGGTGCTGGGCGCACCCTCCCATTTGCTCTGTGCTAAGAGGTGCGGGGCTTCCCCTGCCCACTGCCCCTTGGGGCTCCATCTCCCGTCCCCTTGCTGTGTGTCTGCGCATCCCATCACTGTGCCTGCAGTCCCGGCTCTATGCTTTCCCTGCAGGGACTGTTGTCTCCTTGCTTGGGTCCGGCTCCTGTTTTCCTCTGTCTCCCCTTGTTCTCTGCCTCTGTTCTGGTCTCTGCTGTCCCCAACTCCCATCCTGCTTCCCTATGTCTCAGCTTCGGGGCTGCTGGTAGGGGCTTCCCTCCGTTGGGCCTCCGCCAGGTGGGCTCCTGCCCTGCTGGCCCTGAGAGAGTCCCTACACCTGGGGGCTCCAGCACAGTGGGAAAGTTGGGGCTTGGGTAGGGTCCAGGGGCCACGTTGAGATTTAGGGGACCGAGCTGGTTTGTTCCCAGACAGCCCCAGGGAACTGAATTTCTGTGGAGCCTCTAAAGCAAAGCTCTCGCAGCAGAAAGTTTGGGGTCCTCTCCCCGTCCTTCCCCAAAGCAAGGCCCTGGCATACTGTACCTGCAGGTTCTGAGTGTCCTCAGAAACATGCTCTCTTCTCTCTGCACCCCCACGCAAGACAGGGATGGGGAGTCTCACTCACACACACACACACACACACACACACACACACACACGCACGCACGCACACGTCTCTCTGCGTGGAGGATTCTTTCTCTGGCCGGCCCTTCCCAACCTCTCCCCACACCCCCCCTCAGCAGAGTAGACCTGCCTTCCCCCAGCCAGGGTAGAGGAAAGGCTGGGAGTGGTGAGGGTGCCCGCCGGGTTCCCTCCTCTCTGCCCTCTCACCCCCAAACCTGTATGACAGGTCTGTGACTGAGTCAACAACCCCCCTTCTCCAGGAGATGAAACCCGGGGGTGGGGGTGGGTGTTGGCATATGAAAGTGGAGCCCGAAATGAAACTGAGCAGAGGGGGGTGGGAAAGGGGCGGGGCGGCACCCCACTGCCCTTCTCCACCCCTCCCCTGCTCCCACCTGCTACTTCCCAGCCATCTCCAACACAGCCTCACCCACTGCCCACCTGCCGGGCCACGGAGGAACCTGAGGTTGGGCCCTGCGGAGGGCTGTGGCACAGGGGGTACCAGCTGCCCTTCAGGGAGGCCACTGTGCCGCCCTCGCCCTCGTTTCCTCTTGCCCCGTGCCTTCCCTCCCGCGTCCCCTCTTTTCTTCCTTTCATCTCTCTTCGGAGCTGTTTCCCACCTTCCTCCTCCAGGCTCCAGCCCGCCCCCCTCTCCTCCCGCCTTCACTGTCTCTTGTCTCTCGGACAATTGGGTTTTCAAGTTCTGCCCAAAGTCATGGGCGGTGTTCTCCCACCCGCTGGGGTCCCAGGCTTCCTGCTGGCTCTCGCTCTGGCCCCCTGGACCCCCTGCCCAGCCTCCTGCCTTCAACCAACCCCTGTCTGCAGGTGTTCTTCCGCGCGGGCACGCTAGTGCGCCTGGAGGAGCAGCGGGACGGGCAGACCAGGAGGAACCTCACGCTGTTCCAGGCGGCCTGCAGGGGCTACCTGGCCCGCCAGCACTTCAAGAAGAGAAAGGTGCTGTTTCGGGGCGCCCGCCTGGCAGAGGGGCGTGTGCCCTGGGGGTGGGGGGGAGAAGCCGGGCCTAGGACTGTGGCTATGAGGGAGAGCGGCGGGGCACCCAGGGGCCCCAGCTCTGAACCAGGAGGGGAAGGGGCAGCTCTGTGCGCCAGCCCAGCGATGGGCCCCAGTGGGCCTGCTAGGAGGCCCGTGGGGGTAGGAGGGAGCGGGACCCTGGTAAAGGTGGGCTCCGGATCACAGGCTGCTCCATGAAGATTAAGGAGCTGTGTCAGCGACTCCTTTTCTTATTAGCAAGTCCATAAAACAGCCAGCACCACCGCCTCTTGTGTTTCAGCAAGATTAGGTTTTATAGCACATCTAGGCTAGGGTGCTGGAAATAATCAGGCAGCAAATAAAGCAGATGAAATTATTCCTAATGACGGTGGGGCCAGGCGCCCCCGCCCCCCCAACTCTGAGGGATGGAAGCAGGAAGGTTGCCCCCCCCCCCACCTCAATGGCCTAGGGAATGATGGGCGGGGTTCAAGGCCAAAGAAACTCCCAGGCCCCTGTCCTGGTGTGTGTGTGTGGGGAGGGGGGGGTTGCTGGCAAGGGCAGCACAGCTCCTTGGAACTCAGTGCCCATCCCTGACCCCCACTTAGATCCAGGACCTGGCCATCCGCTGTGTGCAGAAGAACATCAAGAAGAACAAAGGGGTGAAGGACTGGCCCTGGTGGAAGCTGTTCACCACCGTGCGGCCCCTCATTGAGGTGCAGCTGTCCGAGGAGCAGATCCGGAACAAAGACGTACGAGCAGCGTGGTGGGCACTGTGCCGGTCAGGAAGGACCGCGTGGACCGAGCCTCGCTGACTTAGTTGGGCCCCCCCATGCCCCTCTTTTGCTCCTGCCAGTCCAAAGGCCTCCCCGGAGGTGCCGTCCCAGCCCCCAGGCAGCCTCCGTGTGAGGGTCTGGAGGGGTGCTTCCTTCCTGCCCCTTCACGCCCTGGCCCGTTTCACCAGCTTCTGGCTGCCCCTGAGCTCTGACCCCCGGTCCCTCACCCCCCACCCCCACAGTCCTTTAGGCTCACTGTGTGCCCCTTTCTGCACCCCAGGAGGAGATTCAGCAGCTGAAGAGCAAGCTTGAGAAGGTGGAGAAGGAAAGGAATGAGCTCCGGCTCAACAGTGACCGGCTGGAAACGCGGGTGAGTGGTACCCGACAGACCCGCAGCTTCCGCAGGTGGCCATCCTGGGAGCCCACCCCGCTCCGGCCCTATGCCCTGCCGAGCCCGCTGTTCCAGCTGAGTGAGGCAGGCACTTCAACGGGTGGCGACTCCTCCCCAGATCTCAGAGCTGACATCGGAGCTGACCGATGAGCGTAACACGGGAGAGTCCGCCTCGCAGCTGCTAGATGCCGAGACCGCGGAGCGGCTCAGGGCTGAGAAGGAGATGAAGGAGCTGCAGGTGAGGATGGGAGCTCGTGCGATGGCTCTGCTGGGGTCTACTACATGCTAGTGCCCATCTACTCTCCCCCCACCTCCCGGGACTGGTGGCACCTCTGCCACCAGCCCAGCCCCCTCTGTTCCAGGAAGGCATGTGAGCGCTGTGAAGAGGTGCACTGGGAAGTTGGAGAGCACCCCTCATGCCCACGACGGCCTCTCTTTCAGACGCAGTACGATGCACTGAAGAAGCAGATGGAGGTGATGGAGATGGAGGTGATGGAGGCGCGTCTCATCCGGGCCACCGAGATCAATGGGGAATTGGATGATGATGACGCAGGTCGGTCTGGGGCCTGAGGAGCACCAACATCCCCAAGCCCCGGGAGCCACGGTCCTGGTCCGGGCCCACCCGCCATCTAGTGCTCACCAAAGCTGAGGCGGCAGGAATGGGAGAGCACATGTTCATCAGTGTAGTGGGTTCCCGGGGGGCTGCCCCAGCCATGCTCCTGACCGTGTCTGAAGCTCTGGCCCAGCGGTCCCGGGGGTGGAACTGCACCCATAGCCACCATCCACCCCCCAGGCACCTTTCAGAGTCGCTGGCCGGCTCCCCCCACTGCCCCCTCCCAGTCCCATTCTTCTTCCTCGACACCCCCTGCCCTGCGGCCTCAGCTGCTCAGGGCTCCGTGGTGCACCCCACCCCGCAGGAGGCGAGTGGCGGCTCAAGTATGAGCGAGCTGTGCGCGAAGTGGACTTCACCAAGAAGCGGCTCCAGCAGGAGTTTGAGGACAAGCTGGAGGTGGAGCAACAGAGCAAGAGGCAGCTGGAGAGGCGGGTGAGCTTGGAAGGAGGCAGCCAGGGGAAATGGGGAGGGCACGAGGCCGCTCCAGGAGCCCCGAGCCCGGCCAGAGCAGCACCTTAGAGTGCCAGGGGAGGGCAGCGAGACAGCTTCTCCATGGTGGGTCCCCTTCCCTCCTTGCCTTCAACCCTCTGCACCTTCATCCCTCTGCGGGGGGGGGGGGCCTCTGGCCTCTGAGCCGCACCCCTGCTCTGCCCAGCTCGGGGACCTGCAGGCGGATGGTGAGGAGAGCCAGCGGGCGCTGCAGCAGCTCAAGAAGAAATGCCAGCGGCTGACGGCCGAGTTGCAGGACACCAAGCTGCACCTGGAGGGCCAGCAGGTCCGCAACCACGAGCTGGAAAAAAAGCAGCGGAGGTGTGTGGGGCCTGCCCCTCCCCCCCCTGGAAAGGAGGGAGCAATGGCCTAACTGCACCCCCTCCAGGAACGCCAGTGAGGACCTCACACCCCCACTCAGTGTTGGCCTGTCCCCTGGCCTGGGCACTGTGAGCCGGGGCATCAGGCTGGCCCATGTAGGGGGCCCCGCCCCGCCCGCACCCCATCTCTCTCTGCTGGCCACGCACACTCCTTCTGACTGATGTTGTTAAACTACCGTGCCACTTCCATCTCATTATGGTAATGACGCTGGGGAGGGGCACCCTCGCAGGAGAAAAATCCAATCTAAATTAATTTCCCTGGCTGGGGTTGGGGCTGGGATGCCTTTATTAGCAGCACTGAGGAACCCACACACCCTGGGAACCGTGGGGGGCCCCGGGACCGGGCTCAGAGCCTGGTTGCTCCCAGCAGGGAGGCTTCTCAGTGGAGGACCCCGGGGCCCGGGTGCGGGGCAGAGGGACCAGGGTGCTGCCCAGTGGTTCCTGGGGGCCCTCAGCTCCCTGGGCCCCCAGCCACCTCCCAAGAGTGAGCTCACGCGTTCCTCCTGCAGCCGGCCCTCCGCAGCCCTCTTTCTTGTCTTTACCCCCACTTTCCTCTTAGCACCCTCAGCAGGACCCCAGTTCCCAGCACCCCGGCAGCAGTGCAGCTCGCCCTACTTGCTGTGCTCCCCGCCGGGCAGCTTATTAGCTTTCAACTGCCCGAGTTGTCTTCCCTTTTTTTTGTTTCCGGGGGTGGGGGTGAGGGGGTGGGGGGCTGTTCAATTTTCGACAGAAACCTGATTAGCTATTCAGGGTAGGTGCTAAGAGGAATTTCAGCAATTTGCTCCTTATTGAGAGTCACTGGGCGGGAAATGGAAGGCTGGGGGTGGCAGGGGACACAGGCAGCCGCCCTGTGTGTGGACCCAGCGCCCGCTGCAGCACAGGGCTGGTTTCTGGCCCTGCGAAGGGTGAACCCCTGCTGGTGAACAGGGGTACGGCTAGGGCGAGACCAGACTTGGGAGTCCCAGCCTGCAGCAGCTCCATCTCACGTTACCACATCGGACTGTAGAGGGTGAATTGGGGGCCGGGGAGAGGGCTCAGTGGTCAGCGGCATGTACTTGCCTCTACAGGGACCCAGGTTCTATCCCCCAAGTGGCACTATCAAGGTGGCCAGGCCTGAGCAGTACCATATCCCTTTGCCCCAGACCTGATGTCGGCTGAGTATTACTGAGAGTGGTCCCAGGGCCTCCTGAGCCCTGCTTGAAAGCACACCCCAAAAAGAAAAAAACCCAAAATGTGTTGTATGAGGCAGGACATTCTTGCCAGTTCCCACTCTGTACCTCTGCACTCCCTCCCCGCCAGCCCTTGTTGTTTTTTTTTTTTTTTTTTTTTTTTTTTGCTCTTTGGGTCACACCTGGCAATGCTCAAGGGTTACTCCTGGCTCTGCATTCAGAATTTACTCCTGGCAGTGCCCAGGGGACCATATGAGATGCCGGGGATCAAACCAGGGTCGACTGCATGCAAGGCAAACGCCCTCCCCGCTGTACTATCCCTCCGGCCCCCCACTGTGCACTCATGCACATGAAACGTGAGCAGTGTGCCGGTCTCTTCTCCAGAAGCACTTTGTGGAGAGAGGGTTGGGCCACACCTGCTGTGCTCAGGGCACTCAGGAGCGACCGCTGGCAGGGCTCAGTGGGCTATATGTGGTGCTCAGGATTGAACCCAGGTCGGCCACATGCAAGACAAGTGCCCTGCTCACTGGACTCTGTCCTGGGTCCCTCTGGGCTCACTTGGTGTAAGGACTCCTTGGAACTGCTCCCTTTTCCTTCCCCCACCCAGACCTGGTGACCTGGATGCTCAGCAGAGCCTCAGTGACCATCACCCCAGGTCCAGGCCCCCAGAGTTTCCACTTGGCCCTTGTCCTGCCCCGATTCGGGAGACCAAGATTGTCCTAGGCTCTTGCCCTGTGTGATGGGGACCCCCCGCCTGCCCTCCAGGTTCGACAGTGAGCTCTCGCAGGCACATGAGGAGACCCAGCGGGAGAAGCTGCAGCGGGAGAAGCTGCAGCGGGAGAAGGACACACTCCTGGCCGAGGCTTTCAGCCTGAAGCAGCAGCTGGAGGTACGGGGGGCTGCCCGTGCCCTCGTCCCACCTCCACCCCCCACAGGTCCACAGCAGCCTGGGCCTAGCGGCTTCTCTTTCACTCCAGGAAAAAGACATGGACCTGGCAGGATTCACTCAGAAAGTCGTCTCCCTTGAGGCTGAGCTCCAGGACATTTCTTCCCAAGAGTCCAAGGATGAGGCATCTCTGGCCAAAGTCAAGAAGCAGCTCCGAGACCTGGAGGCCAAGGTGAAGGATCAAGAAGAGGAGCTGGACGAGCAGGCAGGGACCATCCAGATGCTGGAGCAGGTACGCGGGGGCCGAGCCCCAGGAGGAATGCGGCCTGGCAGGCGGCCCCACTCCCCACTGCAAATGCAGGGCCCATGCCAGAGGACGTTCCCACACATGGTCCTTCATTCATTCACATGCCCACGAAGTGTTGAGTGAGCACCTGATCGGTGCCAGCCACAGTGGGGAGGTAATTAAGCTGTTAGGCAGCTTTCCTGGAGAACAAATCTTGGTTGAGCTGCTTGTGGTGAGGGGCTCGGGATGCACAGCCGCTGGAAGTCACGAGTTCCCCCTGCCTGCCACGAGACCACTGTGGAGGCCCACGATGCTTGAACTCAGGACGCAAGAGGAAAAGCCACAGGATTTTCCCCCTGCTGCCCCTAGCAGTCTTAATCTGGGCCAGCGCCAGACCCTTCCCCTTTTCCTCGGGAAAGCCTGCTGCCACAGGAGCAAGCCGGCCCCGGAGCAGACGGAAGCGCCGGCAGAGATGTTTTCTGCTCCTGAGCCTGGGGAGAGTCACCTGTCAGAGTACAGGGGCAGGGCTGGGGGTGCTGCTGGGAAGGGAACCCCATGCTGCCCCCTATCCCCACCAGGCCAAGCTGCGGCTGGAGATGGAGATGGAGCGGATGAGACAGACACATTCCAAGGAGATGGAGAGCCGGGATGAGGAGGTGGAAGAGGCTCGGCAGTCCTGTCAGAAGAAGGTGAGGGGGGCCAGAGTCAGAACAGCGGGGAGGGTGTTTTCCTTGCACGCAGTTGACCCAGGTTTGAGCCCCGGCATCCCGTATGGAGTAGATCCCTGAGTATCGCTGGGTATGACCCAAACAGTAACAGCAACAAAAAAGAAGGTGAGGCACTGAGCTCTCCAGTCAAGACGCCCGGCCCTGCCTGGATTTACTTTTTTTTTTGTTTTGTTTTTGGGGCCACCACATCTGGTGGCACTCAGCTCAGGGACTGCTCCTGGCTCTGTGCTCAGGAGTCACTCCCAGTAGTGCTCAGGGAACCATGAGGTATTGGAGATGGAATCTAGGTATCTTGTGTGCTGAGCACACAACTCTCCCCAGCATCATCGGAGAGTTCATGCCGAAGATGTGGAGCCTGGGCCTGGCTGGGCAGGGCAAGGGGCCCAGGTGGGGGCAGGGCTCCGCTGTGGGCTCCGAGGCAGCCTCAACACACCCCTCAGCTGGTCACCCAGCTGCTGAGACTGCACGTGTGCTGAGCTCTCTTCCCACGCCCCCTCCCTGCCCTTTCAAGTGAGCACTTTCTTTCCTCCTCCCCTGCTGTTTGGGAGACTGTATCTCTCCCTGGGCTCCTACTGGCTGCGAGGGATGCACTCACATTTGTGAATAGGCCCAGGCCCCTTACCTCCGCTCTCTGGGCCTCTGCACCGTCACCTCGCTGCCTCCCTGCAATGATGGTGCCTGCCTTGAGCTCAGCTCGCCACTGTATGTGGTCTTCCCTCCCTCCTGCTCTTTCCTGGCTGGTCTGAAACTCTAGAAACTTCAGGTCCAGGGCCTGACCCCGATGCGCTCAGCCGTGCATGGCTCTGCCCTTCTGCCTTCCTGGCATGGGCATCCCGCAGGGATGGGGGCAGGCTGGCTGGCAGCAGGCACTGAGGGGGCCCCATGGGCCTCTGTCTCCGGTACTGCAGTTGAAGCAGATGGAAGTGCAGCTGGAGGAAGAATATGAGGAGAAGCAGAAGGTGCTACGGGAGAAGCGAGAGCTGGAGAACAAACTCGGCCTGCTCAGCGACCAGGTGAGCTGGCGCAGCACTGGCAGGGGCCGAGCAGGGCCCTCGGGGAGCTTGGGGACAGGTGTGGTGGGGGGGCACGGTAGAGCCCATTGTTATCCCTGGTGGGGGCTGGTCCCAGACATTGCATGCCCAGGCATGATCCTAGCACTTTCGGGCTTCTAGAGAGTCTCTGGGAGTGAGACTGGGGAGGAGCAGACTTGGGGGGCGAGGGGGGGGGGCTGGAGGAGACCCCCAACTTCTGGCGTGCACCCAGGTGAACCAGAGAGACTTTGAGTCTGAGAAGCGGCTCCGGAAGGACCTGAAGCGCACCAAGGCCCTGCTGGCCGATGCCCAGATCATGCTGGACCACCTGAAGAACAACGCGCCCAGCAAGCGGGAGATTGCGCAGCTCAAGAACCAGGTACCTGCGGAAGCCGGGCACTGGCTCTGAGCTGCTTCTAGTGGTTTGGGGTCCCAGCCCCTGGTGGCCCTCGCCCACAGTCAGCCCTTTGGTGGTCCTCAGTGGCTCTGAGGGTGAAGTCAGAGCCGAACTCTGCAGGGAATGCATGGGCCCAGCACAGGCACCCACCCTCGGTGGTGGGGGGACCCAGGGCCTTTGTTCCTGCTATGGGAGCAGCCCACGGCCTCGGGCCCCTGCCCAGGGTCTGCCTCTCCACTGCCTGCACCTGGCTGGCCTCCCGCCCAGGGAAGGGCTAACCGATCTCCTCTGGGGTGGGCTGGGGCTGGCAGCTGGAGGAGTCTGAGTTCACCTGCGCGGCTGCCGTGAAGGCCCGGAAGGCCATGGAGGTGGAGATCGAAGACCTACACCTGCAGATTGACGACATCGCCAAAGCCAAGACAGCGGTGAGGGGATGGGTGTGCGGGGGATGCGGGTGGCAGGAGCAGAGCCTGGACCACTTTCCTCCCGCTTGGCGCGGAGACTTCCTGGACAGCAGCACCCCCCTCAGTCACTCCCCATGTGCCCCAGCAGAGACCTGGAGGGGGTGACAGGGAGAAGGGAGCCAGCCTGGACTGGACCAGCTCCCTGTTTAACCACCTGCCTGTGGGAGCTTGGCCGCAGGCCCCAGCGTCATAAATAAAGGCCGCTAATGTGGCCGAGGGATGTAAACAGGTGCCTGGAGATTAGCAGAAGCGCCGATAAGAGGCGGGGATGGCTCCCCTGCCCTCCCCTCCCAGGCCAGCCCACTGACAGCCCTGGCGGCAGCTAATTAGAGCTTTTATTTAGTGCCTCCTTTTAATTCCCTACCTCTCCCATGGCCCCGGCATCACCGGAGAGTTCATGCCGGAGATGTGGAGCCTGAGCCTGGCCGGGCAGAGCAAGGGGCCGGGTGAGGGCAGGGCTCCTCTGTGGGCTCGGAGGCAGCCTCGACACACGCCTCAGCTGGTCACCCAGCTGCTGAGAGGTGCCAGTCTCCCAGACTTGATTTATCCCTGGGACATTTGTGCTCCTCAGCAGTTTTCAGGTGAGTAATTCAAATTCCTTAATTGTGTTAAAAAAGGCTGTTATAAAATTACCATTTTATTTAAATCCAAGTTAATAAATTTCTTGGCAGAGGCTTCCCCAGCTCCCCACAGCCTGGTAACAAGATGGATGAGGCAGAGAAGGAGCCAACGCAGTCATTTTGGTTGGGAATTACAGGCTAATAGATTCATTCATTTCCGGAAGCTGCTGTTGGCCATCTCTGCCCCTCCCCCCAGGCGCTCACTGGACAGCCAGGAGGGGGGGCCCGGGGGAGGGGAGAATCTCAGCCGGGAGAGCTGCACTTACTTGAGGGGCCCTTCCCTGGGGTCTGAAAGGAGCCGTGAGCTTGCAGGTTAGTGCTGAGCTGCCCGTGCCAAGAAGATGGGGCATTTGTTCTTGAGACCTTTCCTGCCTTCCCATTAGCCTCCAGGAACTGCCAGAAAGCGGCTGTCACTCAGCCCTGGCCTGGCGGCCCCATAAAGACAGCCCCTGGCCCCAGCTCTCTGACCCCGAGCAGGAGCTGCAGCTCCTCCCTCCGGTCCAGAATCCACCACCTTGGGAGACCTGGGCCCAGCGTTGTCCTCTGCCCATCGGAGGCAGCAGTGGAGCGTCCAAAACTGCAGCCCCGACTACGAGGCCGCCCGGCCTAATGCCCGCTGACGTCCTTGCTTCTGTCCAGCTGGAGGAGCAGCTGAGCCGCCTTCAGCGTGAGAAGAACGAGATCCAGAACCGACTGGAAGAGGATCAGGAGGACATGAATGAGCTGATGAAGAAGCACAAGGCGGCTGTAGCTCAGGTACGGATCAGGAGTGCCCCGCCCCCTACCTGCGGACATGAGGTCCTGCCCACCCTCACCCAAAGGTCCTGGTAGGGCCACTGCTTCGGGGTGCTTTCCGTGTGCTGTTTGCCCTGGCTTTTGTCATGGGCAGAAGGGGGCTGGATGGGTATTTCTGGAGGACCCCGGCTGGCACTCGCTCCTTTCCCAGGCTTCCCGGGACCTGGCTCAGATGAACGATCTCCAGGCTCAGTTGGAAGAAGCCAACAAGGAGAAGCAGGAGCAACAGGAGAAGGTGGGAACCTGGGTCTCCCCTGTTAGAGAGAGGGTGCGAGGGTCACTGGCGGTGGGGATGAGCCCCCAAGCCCATCAGCTGTCTTGCACTTCTCTGCCTCCCGTAACCCCCAGGACAGGAGCAGACAACCTCTGGACTCCCATCAGACCTGACCTGTTGGCTCCAGCCCCCTTCCACGTTTCTGTCCTTCTGTCCCCTCTCCGGTCCTTAGCACTCTCTTTCCTCCGCCAGGTCGGGGCCAGGCTGGGAATGCCTCAAGCTGGGAGGCCGCCTCCCACCTTTCCCGGGGTACCCGGGGTACCCGTTCCTCCCTCAGCTTTATTTCTCCAGCCTGGAGATCCGGCTCCTCCAGCCCCCCACAGTCACCCGAGACCACCCCTGCCCAGCTCACTGCTGTTTTCTCTCCTGCCTGTACCTCAGCTACAAGCCCTGCAGAGCCAGGTTGAGTTCCTGGAACAGTCTATGGTGGACAAGTCCCTGGTGAGCCGGCAGGAAGCGAAGATTCGGGAGCTGGAGACGCGCCTGGAGTTTGAGAAGACCCAAGTGAAGCGGCTGGAGGTGGGTGCGCGCGTTTTCCTGACCCGCAGCCCGCAGGGCAGGGCAGTCCCCGCAGCGGGAGCAGCCACGCATGCGCAGCTGCCGGCCGGGCAGGCCGCTCCTCTGAGGCCTCTGCCAAGCTTCCAGGCCAGCCGACGGCGGGTGCCTGCTCCCCCGCCCGCCCAGCCTGCTCTCTGGGCACCCGGGAGCTGCCTGCTTTACATTCTGCTTCCGTGCTTGCTTTCTGCCAAGGGACCAGAGCAGCTTAGCTTTTCGTCTTCATATTTTCCTCCACCATGAGCTCCCCCCGCCTGTCCCCCTCGCTGGCTCTGGGCAGGGTCATAAATATGCAGCGGATGGCGCCACTCCTGTGAGGGCTGAAGTCTGTGCTCCGCTCACCTCCTCCTCCTCGCCCTTCTCTGTTCTCCTCACATCCCACCCTGCCGGCTCCACTGTCTCTCCTCCCCTCTCTCTGCATTTTGCCCCATTCTTTCTTCTCCCTTTGTAGTTTTCTTCTCCCTAACCTTACTCTGCTTTCTTGACCACGTCGCATTTCTTCATTTCTCCCCACCCACTCATTCCTCTCCCAATCAATCTATTTTTACGGGTGGGGTGGGGTGATACACCTTTCAGTGCCCCAGAGCTATCTGCAACCCAGTGCGGAGAGGGGAAGGGGTGGAGTCACTTCTGGTGGGCTCCATTGAAGTGCTCCTATACCCAGAGATTCCGTGTGTGTGCTCTTGCTCTTTGAGCTGGCTCCTCAGCCCTCTTTATCCTTTCTTGGTTTGTTTTTGTTTGGGGATCACTCCTGGCGGGCTTGGGGGATGATATGGAGTGCCAAGAATGGAACCCAGATCAGCTACGTGCAAGGCTAGCACCCTACCTGCTGTATTCTCTCTCATCCCTGCTCTCCACTCTTTAACCCCATCTTTGTTTCTCATCATCTGTTCCCTTCCCCCCGCTCCTTCCTCCCTGCTGGAGCCCCCATACTGCAAACCCAATCCCTTGTGCTTCAGTGTCCCCAGCCAGGGCACCAGCCCCTTCCTGTCAGGCAGAGCAGGCTGGAGAGAAAGTCAGGCAGAGTCATCTCTCCATATACCCCTCTCCGCCTTTTCCTTTTTGTTTTGGGGCCATAACCCACAGTGCTCAGGGTCAACTCCCAACTTAGGGCTCACTTGTGGTGGTACTCAGGGAAGTATGCAGTGGCGGGGATCAAACCCAGACCTCCCACATGCAATTCTGTGCTCTACCCGTTGGGCTCTCTCGAGCCCTCACCCGAGTTTCCACTTCTCCTCCATGCTTGCAGGCGTGTGTCTGAGCATGGTTTGTGACAGTTCTCTGTGAGAGCTGACTTCCTGTGTGTGGGTGGGACCTGGGGGGGCGGGGGTTGTCCCTGCCGTGGCCCCATTCACTCCTCACTGGGAGGGGTGGCACAAGGGTAGGGATGACATGGGTAACTGTGGGCTGGCAGCTGTCATCTAGCGCATTAATAACCTTGACTGAATCGGGGATTATCACTGTGCCTACCAGTGTGGGGACAAGGAGGCTTCTGAGAGTCATTTTCTGCCTTGCAGATACTCTGGTCCCCACGGTACAGATAGAAAGGGTTAAGTGACTGACTTAAGGTCACAAAGCTATCTCAAGACAGAAGGAATCATTGGCTTGGTGATATGGGGGCACCCAAGTCTTTCTTCCCTCAGCTCTCGCTCTGTCTGCCTTCTGTTCAGAGACCCCACGTGGTGGTTTAGATGTCCAGAATGGCAAACCCAGAGCCAGAGAAATAACACAGGGGTTAAGGCATCTGTCTTACATGCAGCCAACTCTGGTTTAATCCCCAACGTTGCATAGTCCCCTGAGAACGGCCAGGAGTGATCCTTGAGCAAAGCCAGGAGTAGCCCTATAATACTGCACCCAAACACCCCACACCACCCACTCCCGAAGGGAAAAAAAAAGCAGAAGAAGAATGGTCACACAAATGTTCCCTCAAACCCATGCAGCCTAGTGCTAGGGTTTCAGACCTAGAAGCAAGGGTACCTAGAGGTGAGGCCCCCACAGCCAGTCCGTGGAACCAGCTGGAACCAGCAAGCCCTTTGTTTGTGCTCCAGCCTAACTCCTTCCTCACTCAGCATCCTCCAGCCCAGGCTGGCAAAGCCCAAGAGCTTTGTGGGGAGAAGAGATTCCTGAGGTTTAGAGGAATGGCTTTGTGCTTCGTGTCTGATGACTGGTTAGCCTCCTCTTAACCCAGGAATTTTGAGTCTCTGAGCACAGAGTCTAGTTTTGGAGCTTCTGGGTTTTGTCTCTGAGGGAAACGCTGCTGACCGTGAGGCCCCATCACCTGGTGTCAATACAGATGGGCCCCAGCTTGACCCCTCCTCCTGCCTCAGTAGGAATCCACCATGTGCTTTACATAGATTAACCATATTTGGTTTTTAAAAGACCCCTGGGGCTGGGACTCAGAGACAGTGTGACAGGTGGGACAAGTGCTTTGCATGTGGGAGGGCTGGGCTTGATCCCCAGCACCACACTGGGTCCTGAGCACCAAGTTGGGAGTTGCCCTAGGGCACCATGGAGCATAGCCCCAGCACAAAACCAAAAACAGACCCCAAGGACAGGGCCAGGGAGATAGCCCAAATGGTAGAGGACCTGCTTAACATGTGTAAGGCTCCAAGTTGGATCTCTGAATTTGTTGCTTCCTGAACACTGTCGCCGGGTGGCCCCTGAGAATCAACACCGCCAGCCTGAGCACTGCAGCATGAGGATCCACCTGTGGGGCCCAGAACCATTGAGAATAACCACTATCCTCAGCACTGCTAAGGCGGCCCATAATTTAAAAAAAATAAATTTTGTCGGGGAGGGGGGAGAGGTTGCAGAATGATAGTACAGTGCTGTACAGATAGTACAGTAGGTGAGGCACTTCCCTTGCACAGCTGACCTGGTTGGGTCGCTCACACCACATACAGTCCCATGAGGCCATCAGGAGTGAGCACAGAGACAGGAGTAAGCCCTGAGCACTCCTGGGTGTGGGCCCCAAACTAAAATACAATAAAAGGTGAAAAGAAATAAAAGTTAAAAAGACCTTGGGGGGATAGGTGTTATTCTCCCCCGTTTTTCTGGGAAGCCCAGGATGTTCATTGCCTCAGAGGGCTTCAGTCACTCACCCATAAAGTCAGCGCTCTATCCCAGAGCCCTGGCACCCCTCCTGATGTGCTGATGTGACTCTCTTCCCCACCTTCCTGCACAGGGTCTATCCAGTCGGCTCAAGGAAAACATGGAGAAGTTGACTGAGGAGCGGGACCAGCGCACGGCTGCTGAGAACAGAGAGAAGGAGCAAAACAAAAGGCTCCAGAGGCAGCTCCGGGACACCAAGGAGGAGATGGGCGAGCTTGCCAGGAAAGAGGCCGAGGCCAGCCGCAAGAAGCATGAGCTGGTACGGCCCCTGCCGCCGCGGGCCCTGAGCCCTCTGAACAGAGAAGCCAGTCTGGAGACGAGGGAGGGAGAGGTCAGGTCAGGCCAAGGCTGAGTTTCCATTTGGTCAGGCCAGACCTCAACTGCCTGGCAACCCCCAGGCAGAAACACTGTGGGCTGGTGGCTGCTCCTGGCAGGGGGCATCAGGCTTTTCTGTGTGTGTGTGTGTGCGCGCGTGCGTGCATGTGTGCGTGGATGTGTGTGTGTGTGTCTGTGTGTCTCTGTGTGTCTCTGTGTGTTGGGGAGGTGGTGGGTGGGGGAGACTAGCCCTCCTGTGAGCCGCAATGCTCCCTCCCTCCTAGGAAATGGATCTGGAAAGTCTGGAGGCTGCTAACCAGAGCCTCCAAGCTGATCTCAAGCTGGCGTTCAAGCGCATTGGGGACCTGCAGGCCGCCATCGAGGATGAGATGGAGAGCGATGAAAATGAGGACCTCATCAACAGGTGAGGGGGGCCCCAGGGCCATGCTGACCCACTGGACTGACCACTGGTTAGAACAGCTGCCACCTCTGTGTTCCCTTCACTGAGCCACCAGCAGCCCCATCCTTGTAGTCAGACCCTAGCCTGCAACACCCTGTGGGGGTACAGTGGCTCTCCTTCTCCCTGGGCCCCCTCCCAGGCCTCCCGAGGAACTGACTTGCCAGCTCCGCCTGTTCAGCATGAGTTATTTCCCCGTTTAGCTGCATTTCCGATGGCGCCTGCCCCACTCTGGGGAGAGCAGAGATTTAAGGGCTACGGTGCCTCGTTACTGTGCCGGAGATTTCCTCTCATAAAACCTACCCAGGGAATGGCTGAGGAACTGGAGAAAGAGATTTGTAGTCTCTCTCTCTCTCTTTCAGAGGAAGCCAGGATACGGGTAGACCAGATGTACGGGGTGGAGTCAGGCCCTGGAGGGACATCCAAGGCCACCCAGGCCAGATCACCTGTCCCCTGCCTACTTACTTGAGGTCTGGGGCCCTTGGATAGGCTTCCCAGGATACCTGATTGGTTGGGAGAAGGCAAAGATTCTCCCTCTGAGCACAGCATCATCACTCCCCTTCCCCCCACCCTCCATCTTAGCCAGCGGAGCCTTCTGCCGGGGAGGAGCTGTGCTCTGCTGGGAGTCATCCCTCTTCGTGGTCCCCCCACTGGTTTTCTTGTCTTCAACTGGTCCCCTTGCCCATCATTTTCTTCTGTTTCCAGTTTGCAGGACATGGTGACAAAGTATCAGAAAAGAAAGAATAAACTGTGAGGACCGGAGTGCTCTTGCTCTCTGCCTCTCCTCGCGTGGTGTCTAACCGCCCCTAACTCTGGGCTCCCCCCACAGCCCTGCTGCATGTGCATGGGGCCCCACCGCCTGCCCCCTCAGCCTGTCTCACACTAACACAGCTGGCTCTGTCAGAGGGAGGCAGGGCCGCAGGCCGCCCTGTCATTAGATGGAGAAGGAGGGTGTCAGAGAGGTGCGCCCCCAGCCCACACTCACCCCAGCAGTGGCAGGAAGGGGCTCCGTCACATTCCCTGGCACCCTCCCGGGCCCTAGCCCTCTCCTGTAGGTATCAAGCTGGGCCACGTCCATGGCCAAGTTTTCAAGAAGTCTCTGGACCAGATGTGTTCCCATGCTTGGCTTCCTCTGGGGCTGGGTGAGACTGGAAAGAAAGGTGGGGCTTCGTTTTGAAGGTTACCACCTTTCGGCAGTTGCGCGGGGAGAAGGTGAGGGCTCTTTGTCAGTTCTTTGTTTGCAGAGAGCATCAGCGACTTCTCACAGTCATGGCAGGGGAAGGGAACACTGCCAGATGTGTTTACTCTGCTTCCCGTGGGCACCTCGGACCCAGGAGCCGGTGGTGCTGCCTGTCGGCTAGGGGGAAGTGGGCAGGGGGTGCAGATATGCAGATGCTGGTAGATGCGCCCCCTGCCAACTTGGCCAGGGCTGTTTCTCAGCGGCCCTTGGCGGTGGGCGCTGGGCTTTCCCGCACTCAACACACACACATGCACTCTCTTGCCCTGCAGGCCTCCTCCCCCGGCCCGGATGGGCTGGTGGCAGTGCCCAGGACTCTGTGAGAGCTAATGATAAATGTAATAGTGTGTAACAGTGATAGAGGGCCGCTGGAGCCCGGTTGTCACACACAATTAATATCCCCCGCCGTTCTGTCTCCGTTTGTTTGTTCCCCCGTGATTCGGCTCCCAGTTAACTAATAGCACACGAGCCTGGACATAAATTGTATTTGACACGAGGTTTAATTCCGACCATTTAAAATTTCAACTGCCCCCTGAGCCTGCCTGCCCCTGGAGTTTGTTTACGGGCCTGATTATTTAAGGAAAAGAACCCAAACATCATCTGTACGCTGGAAACTAAAGGGACAGCGAGGGCAGGCAGGCCGGCTTCTCAACCCATTTGCCGCTCTGAATGTAAGAAGGAAATTCGTATTCTGGGCCCACAACCATCTGTCCCCTGTGTGTTCCAGCCCTGCCATCCTTGAGCTTCCAGGGCTGATAAAATGCGCATTTAAGATCATATTCTAAGGCATTGCCAGGCGCGCGTGCACGCATGTGCCCGTGCGTCCACACCCTAGCGTGCACCGTGCAGGTGCATGGGGGCGTACGGTCCTAGCTGGGGACTCGGCAGTGACAGAGAAGTGGTGTGGCTCCATTTTCAGCAGCTCTGGCCCCAGCTCCAAGTTATCGAGCGAGTCGTGCTAAGGCGGGCAGAAAAATAATGTTTCGATTTACTTAGAGATACAGTTGTTATTGCCATAACCTTAATGAAAGCAGTAAACAGCACAGTATTAAGGGAGATTTATACAGAAACGCTTTTAACATGTAGACATAGATTTTGCGATGCATACAGCACCTCCTTTCTAAAGGCAATCAATATGGTTATGAACAGGGGTGATAAATTACAGGCTCTGAAGCTGGAGAAGGAGGTTTTTTGCATGGGTGTATAAATCAGCTGGTATTGGCGTTCCATGGGGTCCATGCACCATAGTAAATCTGCCAGGCTCGGACGGGCAAGGGCTTGCATTAGCAGTTGTGGAGCTGTCTGCTAAACTCCTGTTTACCCGGGGCATCAGCCAACCTCATCTTTGTTACAATTCTGCATTTGGTGGGAACCCATAAAGTATGCCTCTTTATTCCCCTCCCCACGCGAGCCATGTTCTCACACAATCCCCAGAAGAAAATCTGGTGGCTCCTGGTGTGTGTCTGTGTGGGGGCGTGCGTGTGTGCGAGCTTGCGTGTGGCATGTACACACATCCGTGCATGCGCCTATGTGGCTATTTATTCAACAACGTAATTCAGGATCAGGGCTGCTCCTGTTGCCACAGATGAAAGGGAATTTATGCCAAGGAGACATGCGAGCATAGCAGTGGTGGGGGATCGTGGTGAGCAGACATCTTGCAGAACCTAGAAGCATATTCCTGCAGAAACTGCATCCCCACTGCTTCACGAAGGGGTCTGAATGGCTCCACATCAGACAGTCTCTCTGGGGCTTGCCCGCCAGCGTGGCACCGGGAGAATCAGAGGCCTGTTGGGGACTTCCTGGGCTCTGCTGGGGCTCCAGAGGGTACCTGGTGCTGCCAGAAGTGTTCCCAGCTCCCTAGAAAGTTCCACCACCCCTTCCTTCTCCCTCCCCTTTCCTGAAACAAGCAAAGTTATAGGATGGCAGGAGAGTCCAGGTACAAACGAACTCAAAGCCTTTCTCTTTTCTTTCATTCTCATTGATTAATTGACCAAACAGCTGCCTGTCCCCAAGAGTCTGGGGCTGGGAGGGTGCCTGGTGCCCTCGGAGGCTCCTGAGTGGCCTTCTGAGGTGGGAAGGGGTCCTGGTGAATGGGGCGCTCCGTCTAATCTCTCTCTCCCTGACTCACTGATGTGCATGCCACCCCACTGCCTGCCCCACGCAGACCAGCCTGCTGCCCCCGCAGCGTGCTCCCCACCCCCACCCCACGGCAGGTGACATGTCTCCTCTGCCACACCTACCTTTGTGCTCCTCCTCCTACAGTGAGGGCGACTCAGACGTGGACTCAGAGGTGGAAGATCGGGTCGATGGGGTCAAGTCGTGGCTGTCGAAAAACAAGGGGTCTTCCAAGGCCACGTCCGATGATGGCAGCATGAAGAGCCCCAGGTGAGTGCCTGCGAGCTTGGGGTGGGCAGCGGCTACCCGATTGCAGAGAGGACAGAAGGGCAGATCTCTGTGTCCTGGGCCCCCGGTGCAGGGAACGGATACAGGTCCGGGTGCGTGAGCCCAAACGGCTCTAGGTCACATCTCCTGCTGGGTTAGTGCTTTGCTTCCTATAGGTTTTGCTTCATCCCCACTTCAACAGATGTTTGTTGAACTGCTGGAGACCTGAGGCCTTGGATCTAGACCAGGAGGGTGCCCTGGGGACTCGCCAGCCCAACCCAGCTCAGGGCTCTGAGGTCTAGTAGAAATGGCAGAGAAGGGCCCAGCTCCGGCAGAGGCTGCCGCACTTTCTGTCTCTTTCTGCACCATCTCTCCTACCCCTCAGTTCCTCACTGCCTCCTCCCAGGTTTTCCACTCCTGCTCGGGACTTGGCTCTTCTCCGTTCCAGCCTCTCACAGTCTTTTGACTGTGTGGACAGTACCCCTAGAACCCAGGACCTCACCTTCCCATCCCTCACCACCCTGGCCAGCTTCTTCTGCTGCTTTTCTTTTTCCTTTTTTTGTTATTGTCTTTGTTTGGGGGCCACACCCAACAGTGCTCCAGGCTTACTCCCGACTGCACTCAGAGATCACTTCTGGTGGACTCATGGGACCATATGAGGTGCCTGGGTTCGAACCTGGGTCTGCCACATGCAAGGCAAGGGCTCTACTCACTGTGCTATCTATCCGGCCCCCAGCCAGCTTTGGAGCCCTATTCTGCTCCCTCCCATCTGTGGCCCCTTCCCTGCTGGCTCCCTCCCCCTCATCCCCCCCAAACTCAGAGACATGCCCCGGCCCTTCCCAGCAATGACAGGCACGTTGTAGGGGTGGTGTCAGAAAAAGTCATTTTCTTCCTCGCCAACTCCCCGAGGTTCCTTCCCATCTGTCCCTCACCGCAGATGCCCAGTGCCCCCCTCTCATTGGTTTGATTTATTTGGCCAAACCACATTTTGTTCTCGCTCGTGATGCTGCCTTCCCCGCCCCACTGCTGCTCCGCGCCGCGCCGCATGGAGCTCCAGGTAGTTGACAATGAAATAAATTGAACTAAACGTTTTAGAGGGGGGAAAAGTGATGAAATAGAACAATAGTCTAATTTACATGACATTCTCCATGAAGCTATTTTCACTGACGCAAATTATTTTGCTTCATTTCCTCGGAAGCTCTCACCGCCACCTTGCCGGGGCTGCGGCAATTCCTCCTCTCTCCTTCCCCCCTCCCGGGCCTCCGCTCTCCAGCCTTAACACTTGTTCCTCTCTTTCTCTCTCTCCCCCGCCCTGTCTGCGCCGCCCCTAACCCACTGCGGGCTCTCTCCTCCCCTCAGAGCCTCCCTGTCCACCCTGGGGAAGGAGGCCAAGGGGCTGGACGAGAGGCCGGCGTCGGCGCTCAGCTCCCTGAGCTACCGGCGAAGGCTGGCCCTGAAGGACTCCATCGGGGGCGCCGGGGATGAGGACTCTCTCTTCACCACCCTGAGTGAGCGGGCAGCCTCCCCGGAGAGGCCCCCCCGGAAGGCCCGCTCCGGCCCCAGGGAAGAGCCAGGCCCGGCCAGGAACACCCGTGAGCAGGACGAGTGCAGCTCCATCCTGTCAGGGCGTGGGAGCCGAGCCAGCCGGGCTCCGGAGAAGCAGCGGTGGGGTTCCAGCATGGATGGAGCATCCACCGTCTCTGCACCTGTCAGCCGGGCCTCGTCGGCCACCCGGCATGGCTCCGGGGAGGACGGGGCTCGCTCCTCCCTGAGCTTCTCCCTCTCAGGCTCTCCCAGTTCCCGCCGCAGCGCCTCCCGCCTTGACAGTCTGTCTCAGGCCCTCAGTCCATCGCTGGGCAGGGCCTCTGTGCTGGGTGAGGAGAGCCCTGGCTCCCGCCTGTCCCTGGGCCGGAGCTTCCTGGACGAGTGGGATGATGGTGCCAGCGTGGCTCTGAGTGAGGCCCACTCACAGTACAGCCACCCATCATCGCTGGCCCGCAGTCTGTCCGTCCCGCACCAGCCCCACGTCCCAGCCTCCGGCCCGGAGCCCCGTGGGCCTGGCACCCGCTCTGTCAGCCGTAACTCTTACCTCGACCCAGACCTGGAGGCTGCCATCAACGAGGTCTTGAGCTACAGACCCAGCTCATTCCAGCGGAGCCGCCTGAGCCTCGACTCAGAGGATGAGGAGGAGCGCAAGAGCCTGCAGAGTACTCGAAGCGCCCAGCTGGACCCTCGGGAACCAGCTGCCAGCATCCGCCGCTCAGCGTCGGCTGCCGACGTCTCGCTGTCCCGCAGCCGCCAGAAGAGCCGCAGCAAGAGGAGGAGCCGCTCCAGCTCCAGCTCCAGCTCCAGCTCCAGCTCCAGCTCCAGCGACTGCTTGGAGCACAGGCGGCGGCGGAAGAAGGGACGCTCGCGGAAGAGCAAGAGGAAATCCAAATCGAGAAGAAAGAGAACCGAGACCGAGTCGGAATCCTCCTCGTCAGCGTCCAGCGCCTCCACCGTGTCGGGCCACAGCCGCTCAAGCGTTAAGAAGGGCCCACCAGCTGCTGACAGCGAGGAGCCCGGCCCACCACGCAGGCCATCTCGGAAGGAGGAAAAGAAACGCAAAAAAGAGGTGGACAGCCTGATGATGCGGTACCTGTACCGGCCCGAGAGCGACTAGTGTAGTAGGTGGCACCTGGCATGGATGGCAGCATGGTGTGTGCCACTCAGTGTGAACTAACTTGACCCCACCCATCCCACCATCACCGAGGGCACCCCACCCCTCCCACCCCCGTTGTCCTCTGTGGCCCTGCAGAGTTTCCCAAGTACCCGGAAAAGCAGGGAGCCGGCCCTGCTGGCGAGTCATTCTCAGCCAATTCGGTTGAACTCACTGGTGATTTAATCACAGCTCCTTCTTACCAAGCCAGGAGCCCAGCTAGATACTTTTCTCCCTTTATCCATACAGTAAGTCCCAAGCAGGTGTCAGGTTAGCCCCATTTTATAGAAGAGAATCTCTGGCTGAGTGCTGGTTGGTGGTCTCATTTGCCAAGGTCTGACAGGCCGGAAGTGATGATGCCGGGATGTGAATGGATCTACTCAACCAGCTGGGATCTTCATGGTGGTGGGTGCCCAGCAGAACACACACAGGAGCTTTTGTCCAGTGCCATCATAGGCTAGCCTGGGAAAAGGTTCCAGCCAACCCCAGGGTGAACTGGTACAGCAGTGGCCAGCATCTTCCTCCCTAATCCCCCCCCCAACACACACATCCCAGACATGGACCTCAGGCCTCATCGAGGTGGGACTCCCTGGTTTGCAGCCCCTGAACTCCGCCCCTATGGCAGACAGCCCTCCCTCCCGAGCCCTCCCACCTGCAGCCCCCGCATGGGGCGTCACCTGTCTTTGCTCATCTTGGGAAGTTTTAATGAATAGAAATTAGCAGCCACTGAGTGACAGCTCCCTCCTGGCTCTCCTGCCTCCGCCAGCCTTCTCCCCATGAGGGGAGCGAGGGGGCAGGGAGCTGGCAGCGGGGCCCTTCATGCCCACACCCCACCTTGGAAGAAAGGCAAAGACTGACTCACTGGAATCCCATTGTTGGCAGTTTTCCTGGTGGGTGGTGACATTTACATCACCCGGGGTCTGTGGAGCTGTTTTCAGTGTGATGCCCTCCCCGAGCAAGCTTGCTGCCTCCTAGGAGGTCTGACCACAGAACAGCCCCCTGGGGCCGGGCCTTGTTTCCTCGATGCATGAACTAACACACACCTGTCGCATGCTTGCGTGCTGGATCCGCAGGACAAGGATTCTGACTTGGGCTGGGTTCCACCCATGGGGAGCAGTTGTGCTTTGAAGACAGAAGAGCAAAGCAGGCCTCTGGCAGTTCTTTGCAGGGGACTACTGGAGGGTGGAGGGTGGGCCAGGGATGGAGCTCCCAGCCTTGGGCTCAGCCTGGCTCTGTCACCTTCCCCACAAGGCAGGTGGTGAAAGGGAACTCTGGGAGGAGCAGGACAACCTCTCCATCACACCAGAAAAGTGCCGATTGGTGCCGTAATGCGGACAGACAGGAATCACAATATTCTGCTGGGCAATTGCAGTCTCCTGCAACTGCCCAGCAGAATGCCCTGCTCCTGTGGGCTGGGGAGTGCCGGGGAAGGTTTGTAAAACATCCTATCAGACCCCTCTGAACTTGGCTCCTCCCCCCTCTACCTGAAGCAGGAATCATGGACCCAGGCAAGGCAGCGCGACTGGTGAATTTCAGACCCCTTTGGCCTCAGCCCCTTGGTGCCCTTAACCTGCAAACCGGCGAAGGCTGGTTAGTTAGTTAGTTCCCCCAGACAGTTCCTTTTGTCCAGCAGGAGAACAGGAGCAGCCCTGAAACCGTATATGCCACCACCTCGAGGAGGATCCGATTCACTGCGGGTAGAGTGGGCGCCAGGCCAGCAGCGAGCCAACCGATACGGAGCTGGCAGGAGAAGGGCCAGGGGAGGGAGGCAGAGCTGGCCTTGGCAGGCTTTGGACGGATAAGCTGCCAGGAGTGGGGGCAGCGGGGCAGGGGCTCAGCTCCCCATCTGGCGAGGTGGCCAGAATTCAGGGAGGCCAGTGCCGAGCACGAACACGATGCCGACAGTGAAGGCGAGGGGAAGCACCCCACCCCGGGCTCCCCCTGCGGGAATTAGCTTGTGTACCAAATTGTTTGTGACAGCCTTGAGCAGGAAACACTGGCTTGTGGGGAGAAAAGCTTTTTAAACAATTTGGTTAAAATGTTCAAATTGACGGCCGAGACTCTGGCTCTGGGGAAGCGGGAAGCCGCCTGCTGTTGCTGGCTGGCTGGCTGACAGCTGTGGCAGCAGGAGCCGCCTAGGACACTGGCTAAAGAGCACCCAAGACAGAAGTCGGGGGAGCCGGTGGCCCCTCGTGGGGATGGGGGGGTTGTGCACCCCAGTGACCACCTCCCTGGTGGCTCAGCAGCTGGGCCAGCCTGGCGATGGAACTGTGTGGAAATCCAGGTGTCTGCCTAGCAGGCATGGGGTATGCAGCGAGGGGTTGTGGGTGTGTGTTGTGGGTTGTGGTGGGGAGGGGGAGGCACAGGGGAACCTGTCAAGGAGCTGTGAGAATGGAAAAGTGTGTGAGACTGCCCTGAGGCACTGGGCCTCAGCCCCCACAGCTGCCTTGCCCCTCCCTCTGCCCACAGAATACTCCCACTTTCCTACCCTTTGCCAAACAGCCGACCTTAACCCCCAGAAAGCCTGTCTGAAACGTGAAAATAAGGGGCAGGAGCAAAAGTGCAGCAGCTGACCTGAGTTCGATCCCCGGCATCCCACATGGTCCCCTGTGCAATACCAGGAGCAGTTTCTGAGTGCAGAGCCAAGAGTAACCCCTGAGCATTGCTGGGTGTCACCCTACAACAAAAAACATTTAGGAAAATCAGACCAGGGCACCACTAATTTAAACAATCCTAAAGCAAAAACCACCGCCTTTTATTTTCTCCCTGTGTTGTATAGTCATCAGTGAGCTTTATAATTTCGTCCCAGAGACACCTCCGAGTCTAAGTGCCTTTGGCCCATCAACGTAAGACTCATTTATGTTCAGTGTAGTTTGTATTAAATGTGTTTTGTGCTATTCTGATTCCTTTAAAAATGGTAATTCATTCATGAGAAATACGATAACTATTAACCAGACTGGCCCATTCCTGGACCATTTTGCATAATTGAACATGTATTCTATCAGGCACTTCCTTCTCCCAGGAGAGAGAGAGAGGGAGGGAGAGGGAGAGAGGGAGGGAGTGAGGGAGGAAGGGAGAGAGAGAGAGAGAGAGAGAGAGCCTCTCTTTACACACCCTCTGGGCACTCACCCAGCTGGCAGGGAAGGCTCCCTTTAGTCTGGCTTTCCCACTTGGTCACCCAATCCCAGGGGGCAGGTGGTGTGAGCAAAGGGTTATGCCAAAGCAGTGAGTTCTGGGCTACACAGTGGGGCTGTGGGTGTGGGCAAGAGACTGGTCCTTCCTGACCTGGTCCTCAGGGCCCCTATGGAATGGAATCTCATTTCCAGTGTCTAGTTGCCCCCCCCACACACACACACCGCCCCACCAAAATAAGTGCTGGGAGTCGAATCCTTCTTGGGAGCCTCCCTCTAACCCCTTGGAAAAGGTCGTAATGAGGTTCTCTCTGGTAAATCCAGTTCCTGTCTCCTTGGGTTTGGAGAGAGAACTTTGAGTGGACGGGTAAACAAAGGGCTGTCCTTATTCAGTAAGAATTTGGTGGGGGGGGGGGAGGGAGCAGGTTTAACCCAGAACCCCACTTAGCCCCTCTGCCTTTTGGGACTGGCAGCAGAGACGGGAGCACACAGGAAGGCTGTTCTCAGTTGAGGGGAAGGAAGGAGAGAAAGGAGTGGGAAGGGGAGCCCATCCTTGCTTGGAGCTCTGGGCTGCTTCCTGTCCAGTGGGAGATCCCCAAGGCTCTCTTCTGCGGCAAACCCCAGGTCTTCCAGCTCCCACTTCCTGAGTCTCTGTTCCTTGGGAGTAGATGGTGCCATGGGCAAGGTTGAGATCCTTGCAGACTTCAAGAAGTTCAGCCTCTGATGAGCTCAGAGGCTGCAGCCAGGGCATGCAAGCCCTCCTTACAAGGAATTGCCCTAAGATCCTGCATTTCCTAGGACAAGTCCTTGGTGACCTCCAGGCTGTCACTGTCACCCCGGAACTGACTGCCTCTGACCCTTCAAGGGGAAGGAGTTGGAAGTTCCGGGGCAGGGCCCAGAATCACAGTGTCCCTGGAAATACACAGGAACCTGGATGCTTAGGCCATGCCTCTTCACCCCATGGCTCTGCAGTGGTTTTCCTGGGAGCATTCAAAGCTTTCGTCAAAACAGGGCGCTGCTGTCTGTCTCCGCTCTGAGCCTCTTTGGGGAAAGCATGGAGGGCTGGTTTTGCATTTCTATTTGGGGCTTGCAGGACCTGCTGTGACCTGGCCTGGAGGGGGTGTGGGTTGGGAACCTGTCCAGGACCTAAGGCTGTGGCACTGCAGGCTGGATGTGACATTCCCTCATGGCCTCATTCTCTCCCTGCAGCCCCAGCAGCAACTGGAAGTCCCCTGCCCCTGACCGATCCGACGACGAGCACGACCCCCTGGACGGCACCACCAGGTCCCGCTACGCCCACAACTATCTGAGTGACAGCGACACAGAGGCCAGACCCACAGAGACAAAAGCATAGCCCAAGGGAGCAGTCCATGCTGGTCCTGCCCTCGGTGACTGCCCCTCCGAAGAAGCGGGGATGGGGGGCGGAGGCAGAGATCCCCTCAACCTGACTGCTAAACTGCATGGGGGACACTGAGCCTCTTCCGGGTGTCTGATGTCTTCTACTGGGGGCACTGGGGGTGGTGGGGAGGGTAAGAGGAGTTTTGGAAAAGAGAACTTAAGCTCCTCTGCCTCCGAAATATCACGCTCTCGGCTTCTCCCTTGGGCCGCGGAGGGCAGCAGTGGGTGACCTGACCCTGCGCGGAGTCAGTACATTGACCCCGTCTCAGCCCCCTGCTCAGGGACCGTGGACTGGTTGCCTGCTGGGACATTCTAGGTTGCTGGGTCCATGAGGGGGCCTGGGGGGTGGGCACCTCCGTCCCTCCCCGCTGACTTGGGGGCGAAGGCTTTCTCTTCTCAGTGCCTGCTGTCTTTTTACTTTTTAACTTAAATACCGAACCTCTCCATCGCAGCTGCATCGGGGGCAGGGGGTGCCGCATGGCAGCAGGGGCCTGGGAGGGGCACAGGGCAACCTCATCTCGCTCCATGCTTTGGAGAACAATCCTTCCTCTGTGCAGCTGAGGGGGGCCTGTAAGCAGAGCGGGGTCCCGTTCTTAAGAGGCAGCGTGTTGAGGGGGGGGCCTCAGGTGCTTCTTAGCTTTGGGTTGAGTGCACCCACACTGGTGGGGGTGCCCACAAACCACCCAGGCTTCTAGCCCCCACCCCTCTTCTCTCATTTCTCTCATCAATGTGCTAAGTGCAATGAGCTATTTAAGAGTAAACCTGTCCCCGCTAGGCTGATCGGGGGTTGTCCAAGTACTGCCCCCCCTGCCCTTCTGCCCTTCTGCCCTTCTGCCCTTCTGGCCTGTGCCTGAATTCAGCCGAAGAGGGGAAGCAGGGCCAGAGGGCTGTGAGCAGGACTAAAGAGGGAGTTTCCGTCGGCACGCGTGTGTGAGACGCAAATCCTCTCCCTGTGTCTGAACCTGTGTCATTTTTCTCCCGAGTTCCCCCCCGAACCCCATCCCCACCACCACTCATCCCAGACCTGACAATATGTGGCCTGAAGGCCCCCCACACATACCGAAGTCATCCCACCACCACCAGACTTGGGGGCCCAAGGGCAGTGCCTGGTGCCGCTCCCATGTGCTGTCCCCCAGCCTCCTCCTGCATTTGGTTTATACTCACTGGGCTGTGCTCGCGCCCCTGTCTCCCTGATGTATGGAAATAAATGTCCTTTTCCTCCTGGCTCTGCCAGTCTTTCTGCCTCTTCCTTCAGACTCAGGTGAAGTCCAGGTCTTGTAGGGAGCAGAGGCAAGTTTGAGGGGGGAGGGTCGTCCTGGTCTCTAGACAGTCCCACATGTACTCGCACCACACAGAGCACCTTGGTAACTCTGGCAGGCAGAGGTAGAGGGGTGAGAAGATTGGCTAAGGAAGACACAGCCCCACCTCTTAAGAGTCTGGAAATGGTAACTTGGGTTGGCAGGGCCGCACCCTCCCCTGGCCTCCATGGTAGGGTCATGAGCTCTCTCTGGTTGCAGAAATCCACCAATTACAGGATCCACTGAATTTAACATCAATTTTGCTTATTCCAAAAATCACTTTACGGCCATACTCTATACCACTGAACCATATCCAAGTCCTAAGATGACTTTCTGATCAAAACTTGGGAGTTTCGAGGGGCCAGAGCTATAGTAAAACTGGTACTCTTGGGCATTTGCCTTACACACAGCCAGTTCAGGTTCAATCCCTGGCATCCCATATGGTCCCCTGAGCATTTCCAGGAGTAATTCCTGAGTGCAGAGCCAGGAGCAACCCCTGAACATCACCGGGTGTTACTCAACAAGAAGAAAAACAAAAACAACTTGGGAGTTTTGGGTGAGAGAGATAGCTCAAAGGACTGGGCACATACTTTACACAGGAGAGGCCCATGTTCAATCCCTGGCCCATGTTGTCCCCTGAGTTCACCAGGAGCAGTCCCTGAGCACCAAGCTGGGAATAACTCCAAAGCACCACTGGATGTAACCTAGCCCTCTTCCCCAAAACAGCTTGGCCTTTTAATCAGACTCTCCCTAGATGCCCTCTTTCCTCAGTCATAGGGCAACTTGCAGAAACTATCCTTCTGGGTCTTGCTCCAGTGGTGGCTGGATCCCTCTGGAGCCCTGAGAGGCTGCTTAAATAGAAAAAAGAGCAAGAAACTGAGGGACCCCCACCGCCTCTAGTGTGAGCACTTAGAACCCCTTGTCCAGGGAAGTCTTTGCACCTCCCAGCTTTGAGCAGGCAGAAAGGGGCTATCGGCCAGCCCTGGTGCTCCAGTGATGATGCCACCTAGAAAGTCAAGAAGTTGGAGACCAGAGTGATAGTACAGTGGGTAGGGTGTTTGCCCTGCACATGACCAACCCAGGTTCTGTCCCCAGCATCCCATATGGTCCCCCAAGCACTGCCAGGAATAATTTCTGAGTGCAGAGCCAGGAGTAACCCCTGAGCATCACTGGTTGTGACCCAAATAACAAAAACAAAAGAAATTCAAGAAGGGAGGGAAGAAAGTGCAAGATGAAGCCATGTTGAATGGAGGGTACTGGCCTCTGGGGGAATCAAAAGGGAATTGTAGTGAAAGAGAAGTTATTATTATGGTTTCTGGGCCACACCTAGCCATGCTCAGGGCTTCTGGTTCTGCACTCGGGTCACTCCCGGTGGGACTCAGGGAATTTTATGGGTGTTAAGGATTGTCCTCTCTGCTGTACTATCACTCCAGCCCCAGAGAAATTACTTTTTATTTTTATTTATTATTTTTTTTCTTTTTGGGTCACACCCGGCGATGCACAGGGGTTACTCCTGGCTCTGCACTCAGGAATTACTCCTGGTGGTGCTCAGGGAACCATATGGGATGCTGGGAATCAAACCCGGGTCGGCCGCGTGCAAGGCAAACGCCCTACCCACTGTGCTATCTCTCCAGCCCTGAGAAGTTACTTTTTAAAACTTTATTTTAATTTTTAGTTTTGGGGGGGGCCAGATTCAGAAGTGCTCAAGAGCTGTTCCTGCTTGTTGCTTGGGGGACCTTGTGGTACCCAGGATAGAAACTGGATTTCCTGCATAAAAGCCTTCACTCAGTCTATTGAGCCGTCTCTCTAATCCCAACTACTGAATCCACACTCAGTTATTAATCCTATCATTAACCCCTGCTCTCAAATATCTTGGTGCATTTTCTGTGCCCCAACCCCCACGCCTCAGCCCTGATCTAAGTGATTCAGACCGTGTCACCTGCAGATGAATTCCTGATTCTGTTCACATGAACTCTAGCTTCTGGTTAACTAGAAAGTTCAAAATCAACCTCCATAGCCTGGCAGAAAGAATGAGCAGAGTCCAAATAAAAGTTCAAAGTTCTTGATTTCTTTATCCACTCAACTTTTATTCTTTTATCCTTTCGTTTGACTCGAATGTTCCTTGAAGAGGATGAAGGTGCTGGAACCGAGGTCCCAATTGGGTTCGAACTGTGGTGATGGTAAAAGAATTTACCAGGAGAGTGAGATGGCCAGGGTGAGAGCAAAGTGAGTTTGTTGAGAGCTGACTGGTCCCACAGACACAGCGGAGGCCGAGAGAGAGAGAGAGAGAGAGAGAGAGAGAGAGAGAGAGAGAGAGAGAGAGAGAGAGACAGACAGATCTGCTTAGTCCAATTACAGGAAGTCTTTTATTGCGTTTGTGTCTGGGCTCTCTAAGCTTTCTGCGGAGTTAATTCTGGGCGGTGGGTGAGTAGGGGTGTGTGTAGCCAGTTCTAGGATTGAGCAACAGCACTGAGTGACAGGAGGGCCTCTAGACTCTCCTGGGCACAGCTGATGATGTGAGCAGGGATGGTCTCAGCCTTTCATTCAGGCATAGGGGACTCAAACTAGGCATCTCAGAGGACTTTCACTAGACCACTCCTGCCTTCTATGATCTGGGCTCCATGCTAGGGGCTGGGGCTGAATGAGGTTCCCTTTCCTGTAAAGGAAATGTTCCAGTGGAGAAGTTAGATACACCGGCTGTGGATTACTGATGTGGGTAAGGAGAGAGGAGTAAATCATAATGCTTTTCCTGCAGGATCTAACTGGTGAGCTAGGGCTAAGAGAGGCCCAGTGGGAATAATTACCCCAAATGTATCAGGACAAAGCTCCTGTGAGTCTACTAGGGAGGAAGACACTGGGGGACGGGGGGGAGTGTTGGACTGGGAAGGGGTTCTGAAAGAAACTAGTGTTTGGAGCTGGGCCTTGTCAGTTCTTCCATAGGTCAGTCTTGTTGGGACAGGCATGTGGGGAAGAAAGAAGAGTTGAAACAAAGGCCTTGAGGCAGAGAAGATGGTGATAGGGAGCTCTCTGGGCTATCTGGAGAAGCCAGAATTCACCGTATTCTTCAAGCTACAGCAACCCCCCAACCAAACTGGGGAAAACCCTATACCGACTGCCCTGGAGATTCCAGAGGCTCACGTTGCCATCGGTTCTCACTGCTCTTCATTCGGGGTGTGCCTTCAGAGCTCTGTAAACTGCCCTCACCTAGACATCCCTCCCGGAAGCTCTGCTCCCTAAGACAGAGGTGATTCCTGAAAAACAGGCAGCAGATCTGTCCTTGTACCTGGCTTGAAACTGCCTCTCTAGATCCTCCTTGCTATTTCCAACCCTCAGGATTGTTTTGACTCTGGATAGGCAGCATGGGAAAGGATCAAGCTTTGCAGGGCTCCCTGGAGTGTCCCGTCTGTGCCCAGAGATGAAGAGGGCACACAGTGACTCCTCAACTGTGTTTTGTCCCTGTGTCCTCTTGGCAGAAGATCCCAGTGTCCCTCCTCCTCCTCCTCCTCCTCGGGCCCCACCCCCTTGCCTGGTGGCACAGACACTTAACGATTTGCTCCTTAATTGTCCCCCAGCTAGGCTGTGCAGATGCCGCTCTTTAATCTCTCCTGATAAATGAATCGCGCTGCTCCTTTAATCATATGTTCATATCCAAGCCAATTTGAATCAATTTGGCAGGGAGCGTGTTGCAAGAGATGCCATAACTGCAGCTTCTCCCCCCAGGGCCCGGAACCAACCGTCTGTTGTCCGCACCCTCAGCAGAGAGCCTGGGAGGCCCAGGCAAAGCCTCACTCTTCCGTGAATGGTGGGGACTTTTCAAAGTCAATCAATCATTCATTCCTAGCCTCCAAGCAGTCCCTGGTGGGACCTGAGAAAGATGGATTTCAGAAGGCCTCAGAAGTGGGAGGCAGAGGGGTGAGTCCACCCTCTCTTTAGTCATTGAATAAAGGGCCCCATTATCGTCCCCCTGAGAAAGTGCTGCCTTAAATCTAGCCCTAATCCTTTCTGTTCCCTTTTCATTTCCTCTGAGAGGGATCTCTGGGAAGCTGGAACACTTTATCACCTTTTACATAGCAACACATTGCACACCAGCCCATGGTAATTTGTCCTTGCCTGCTCCCACTCCTGGCTGCCACCCCAACTCTTTCATCTTTCCCCAGAAAATGTTCTTTTATAACCCTCCACCCTGGTGAGCAGTCCCAGGATATGCTTGGGAATGTACCTAATTTTGCCTTCATTCACAGGGAGATATGCCCTAGTCAAAAAAACAAAACAAAACACACACAACAAAACAAAACAAAAAAACTAGCAAACATTGACAAATAAAATCTGCCCAACAGGGTTGGAAAGATAGTACAGCAGGAAGGCATTTGCCTTGTACACAGCTGGCCTGGATTTGGTGGTCCCTGGCACAACATAAGGGTCCAAGCACCTCAGTAGTGTTCCCTCAGCACAGAGCCAGGAGCACTGCCCAGTGTGGGGCCCCCACCAAAAAAAATCTAAATGGCACCTCTGGGGGCTGATGCTGGAATGCTGGCTTAGCCTTTTAAACCTCAGTTTTCCCATCTGTAAGATAAGGTGACAAGAACATTTTGGTTTCTAACTTGGGGTGATCTTCCTTACTGCTGTAGAACCTGCCACCGTTTCCTGGGTGATGGGGGCTGACAAGTGCGGCCACTAGATCTCCACACAGGGGTGGGATGGCTTTCCTTTGTGAGTGACCCCTCTCCTGCTCTGCCAGGCCCCCTAGCTTGCCTTAACTTATAGGTAGTCTCTTGCTCCGCCCCTAACTGATGGGTCACCACGCCCCTTTAAAGGGCACTGTTAGGAGTTTTGAATTCTTCCATATTGTCCTTTAAGGATTACAGAGCCATGAGGACCAGACTCTCCCAAATACTGTTTTCTGCCCTATTGAGGGCTCTCCTGAGG